CAAGCCAAACATGCCAAACTCCGAAATGGCTAGATGAAGGGCAACAATCAGGTGCAGTCTATTCTAATTTAGTACTGAATTTTTTAAGCGGCAAGGCGTAATACGGATCAGGATTGTCTCGATGTTATACCAGTTTCTTCTGACGTTCACCCCGCTAGTTTTAGGCGCGGTTTAGAGCTCTGAGTGTACCGTTGATATTTCTATTCTACCTTCTGTTTGGGGAATATTTTTCATAATGATCTATTTCTGGCATACTTTGCTAGTTTCTCTGTTCATTTTGAATGTTATTAGTGTAAGTTACAAAATTCCCTTCTTCCAGCTTTTTATGTTTTTTTGCTAACCCTACAATGCCTCCGCACGTGTTTACAGTTCTTTTTGTCCGTAGCTGTTAATGAGCTTCCCAGTCTCAACCTCCTTTCAGAAATTTTTTGCATTCCAATATCATTTACCCGCTTTCTGTTTGACACGCCGCTCCGGCTAACAAAGGTTAATCCTGGATTTTAGGCACGTTTGCACCTTTTTCTACAAACAGAAATTCAAGTGCGAAGACTTGTCCATGGCCACTTAAATTTTTGAGATGGGTTTTTATTTATTTATATTTTATCTCTAGTGCGGTTATCGTAATTTTCCCTGATCACCGGTATTTCCTTGCGTTCACCTGGGATCTCGGCACCTGGCTTTTTAGGTATTTTCTACTTTGCGCGCTTCCCTTTGGGTTCTTGTCAGCCTCCCTCAAACCGCTTCAGAAATCAAGAAGAAGCCACGGTTTCCCTATTGCCATTTTCTTGACTATCGTCTAGCTATAGGAGGAGGAGCCTATCACGTTCAGGCCAAAATTTACAGTTTGCGAGCTGTCCATGCCGATTTAGCTTAGTCTCGCTTTGTTCGTATTCCTAATGAGGAAAAGTCCCTGTGGGAGCCTGTTCAAATTTTCTCGTGGCTTCGTGGTCATAACACTCTCGATGGAAGCATTAGAGCCACGGATGAACGCATTGCTAAATTGTCTCACGACCTGGTGGCTTTGTCTTCATATTAGTCTTTCACTACACTCCATGTTCTACGCGTCCCGTGTGTAGCTGGCCAAAGTATTTTCCTCTCGAGTTGCGTGGGATCTGTCGCGTGTATCATGGCCCGATTTCTTTTCTCAGTTGTTTACTCAGCTGTTTCCTGGGATAGCTAGGTTTTCCTGTCCGTTGATTCTTTGTTGGACATTGAACTTTGGTCGAACAATGTTAGCCTCTCAACGGCAAAATTTATTTAGGGGTTCCAGTTCGCTCCCAGTGAGAGTAAGCTCCGGCTTCTCCGATGCTTCTTATTCAGCCTGCATCGCTTTAGAGGAGTCTGATCCTGAGCTGATTTTTCATCAGAATTGGTCGGAAAGTGTTCGTAGATCGACTTGGAGAGAACTCAAAGCCGTTTGTCTTGCCTTACTAGCCTTCTAGAGCCCTTTACATAATCAGTCCAAGGTTTTTTGGTATTCTGACAACCATAGCGTCTAATCCATTCTTCGCGACGGCAGCAGGAAACGCGATCTCCGGGATTTAGCCCTAGTTGTTTTTCAAATTTGCTCCCATCATTGTATTTCGTTCGAGTTCAAGTGGATCCCTAGGGACCTGAACGCCAGTGCGGACTGTATCTGCAAACTCGTTGACTTCGATGGCTACGGCCTCAACGATTCTGTTTTTCAAGGGCTACATCACCTCTTAGGTCCTTACACTATTTACAGGTTCGCCTGTAGCTACAACGGCGAGTTGCGTAGGCTTAACTCTCGATTTTTTCAGCCAGGCTGTTAGGCTGTTTATGCCTTCGCTCTAAATTGGAGTTTGGACGACAACTGGCTTGGCCCACCGGTTTGCCTCATTGTTAGAGTCATCAGACACATTGGGCTCTGCCGCGCTCACGGGAACCCTTGTTCCTCCCCTATGGGAGTCAGCTATTTTCTGGAATGTTTCTACTAGACATGGAGTGCATTGGAATAGTTTTGTTGTCGACTGGGTTTTATTGCCTAAGTTCCAGGGAAGGCCCGTAATTCCCTCTTCAGATCCAGGCCTTTATTTTTTGGCGCTTCGAGTTTATTTTCAGCGCCCCAGACCTCCCTCGTCCCTGGAGGGCTTCTGCTCTACGCCGCCTGACGGAAAGTGTTACCTGTGCCTCTACACGCGTGTTATGCGTACCTTTAGGTTTGGACCCATTAGGTTTTTGATCCCCCCCCCCCCCCCCCCCCCCCCGCCCACTCTCCTCACACTTCCCTTTTCCGGTGTTTTAAGCTCGCTTGTTTTTTAAATTCTTTTTTATTTCGTGCTCCTCACATTTTCTTCTTCGATTACTTTTCAGATATGTCCCGCTCTGGTTTCTAGCGCGGGCCCCAGAATTTCCCACCAGAGGGTTGAAAACTGAGGCTGACAGACAGTCTACAATGCAATCGACGGTTCTCTCCTCAAAGGCCGTTAGTGTGACAGTGGTGTACCTTCGTGCTTCTCGCAAGTAAAAATGTTTTGCTGTCTGTAAGCTTCATTCCTGGGCCTGTCCTGCCAGTCCCTGCCATGTTGCCTTGTATTTGCAACACCTCATTGAAGAGTCACACTCCCCGTGCGTCGTAGACTCGGCTGTTTACGGTAGTAAATGGGCTCATACCATGGCGGGTATTCCCTCTCCCACGGATAAACCGATTATTGAAGGGGTTAGGTGTGCTTCCAAAAGGATTTTTGTTTTGATGAGGTCTCCATAATTACGGGGAATTATATTTTCTTTCATGAGGGTTTCATGATCATTAAGGTTCTCAAAAGCAAGAACGACCAACTTTGTAAGGGCGATGAATCGAAGTGATTTTTTCGGAAATGTTTGGCCCTGCTTGTACCTTGCCCATTTTTCCATCCCTCTAGCTCCAGGGATCTCATTTTTAGGCCCATGTCTCGCGGGAACAGTTCCTTTATGTTAGTTTCCCAGGACGAGCCTATCAGCTATACCACAATTAGAGAGGCTTTTCGCAAGGACCTGAGAAGTTTCGGGGTTGACCCTTCCACTTTTGGTTTTTTATTCCTTGCGTTCGAGAGGGGCCACTTCCGCTGCTTACAATGGGGTTAGTGACAGTGTGTTTCAGTGGCTCGGCCGCTGGAAGTCCGTTCTAGCCAAGGACGTCTACCGATGATGACCTAGAAAAAAGGCTTTCAGTTTCTTGGGCTCTAGGAGCTTTCATTTGTCATTTCGCCCAATACTTTGTCACTCTACGTACTTTGTAGGGTTGGTTCTCGCCAAGCCGTCCCAAAATAAACTTATTTGCCATTACGTTTTGTCTGTTGATGTTGTGTAGTGGAGTCAAAATATGTTATTTCTGACGAATGAGCCCGCGAAGAAGACAGAAATAAATATTTTGACGGCACGAGATACAACAGGGCCTGGGTACTAGGCCGGTTGCACCATGCGTAGCCATATTGGGGGTATATAAGGCTGCGTATATCACGTGTACGTCATCTAGGCTTACGAACCACCCTCTCTTTGGTTTTTCTTTATTTTTGTTTTATTTATTTTTAGGAGCAACATATTCTCGATGACATTGTAAAGTCCCGTAGGAAGGGCCTTGAGCTTGAGCCTTGGTTCCTACGCAGATTTCCTGCCCGCATTTTTTCCCTTCGGGGTTTTTTTGGGCAGGTTTTTTCTGGCCTCCGTCTGACCGCACTTACTTCAGTTTGTAAGCGGTAGCTCAGCTCTGCTAGTTTTCAGTTTTTTTCCCGTTTCTTATTTTATGTACTTGTACAGTTATCTTAGTTTTGCACCTGCTCCTTTACTTGATATATTTAGTTTCTATGTATGTCTAGGTCAGCTGTCCCGGAACCGCTCTTTAGGAGGCGACATAGGTCTCGTTTGATGCAGTTAGGTTGCAGGCAATGTTACAGACTTCTAGCCAGGGTCGTTATCGATTTGTTTACTTTCAATGCCCTCCCCTAGCCTTTTATGGCAGCCTTACTGGTTATTGGGCTATGTGCCTTGTTGGGTACATTAGTGGAGATAATTCCCAGTTTTCCTGGCACTCAGCCTCTGTGCTCCTGAAGTGTTCCCGGTCCCAGTTATCCGTTGATCAGAATTTTATTAAAATTCCCCAGCCTAACTGGCAGCCTAACTGGCAGCCTAACTGGCACTAAGCCTGTGTGCTTCTTTGGGGACTCAGGTCGAGATCGACCAGTTGTAGCAGATCTCTCTTTTGCTTAGCCTCTGTGCTCCTGCCGTGTTCCCTGTGCCAGTTATGCGTTGTCAGAGTTTTATTAATTAGTTTCCCCAGCCTAACTGGCACTAAGCCTGCGTGCTTATTTGGGGGATTTAGGTCGAGATCGACCAGTTATAGCAGTTTTTCTTTTTGCTTAGCCTCTGTGCTCCTACCGTGTTCCCTGTGCCAGCTATATGTTGTCAGAGTTTTATTAATTAGTTTCCCCAGCCTAACTGGCAGCCTTACTGGCACTAAGCCTGCGTGCTTCTTTGAGGGACTCAGGTCGAGATCGATCAGTTGTAGCAGATCTCTCTTTTGCTTAGCCTCTGTGCTCCTGCCGTGTTCCCTGTGCCAGTTATGCGTTGTCAGAGTTTTATTAATTAGTTTCCCCAGCCTAACTGGCACTAAGCCTGCGTGCTTATTTGGGGGATTTAGGTCGAGATCGACCAGTTATAGCAGTTTTTCTTTTTACTTAGCCTCTGTGCTCCTACCGTGTTCCCTTTGCCAGCTATATGTTATCATAGTTTTATTAATTAGTTTCCCCAGAATAACTGGCAGCCTAAGTGGCACTAAGCCTGCGTGCTTAACTGGGGGATTCAGGTCAAGAGCGACCTTTTGTAGCACGAGTTTTTTGTGAAAGCTAGTTTACGAGTGTTGTACATTAGGTATTCACCAGTAATCACCTATTATTGTCATTATTGTATTTACATAAGTACTTTGTAGGGTTGGTTCTCGCCAAGCCGTCCCAAAATAAACTTATTTGCCATAACGTTTTGTCTGTTGATGTTGTGTAGTGGAGTCAAAATGAGAAGTTTCTTACCTCATCGGAAGGCTGTCCCTCTCTCTTGTAAAACTGGAACGTCTGTCCATCGTTGCTATATTGCACCTTGTACTTTGCTACATATTGAAAAGGGGAGTAGGTATTTCTTCCCTGTGTAGCTATGTGCGTTACGTTTAGGACTTTACCAACATCTATCTGAAGCCATTGGTTTGCATCGTTCGTCGAACTCACCCATGCACCTCTCGCCAGCGCTGATATTTCCTTTGTATGTAATCTCGATCGTTTCGTTGAATGGTAAGCATTATATTCTGAAGACGCAGTTAGTTGTGAGTCAGCTATAGCGCCGCTCTCCATTCCAAGGGCTTGTATCTCTTCTTCAGATAAAAAATGAAAAAAAAAAAAATCAATCTTGATGACCCAGTTATGAAAGAGTGTATGTGTACCCTAAAACCCATAAATCCTTACCTACACTGATACGTTTTTTATACAGTAAACACCCGCTAATAAGAATCTCTGGTTTAAGAACCTGACAGACATTTGACACCTTAATACCCCAAAATATAAGAACCTGTTTAGCCAAACAAAATCAAGCAGGTTCTTATATTTAGGTTACAGGTAAATTAAGATAAACATTTTAACCAAGGAGTTTGACTTATTACAAGAAGATACTGCCCAAACTATAATTACAAACAGCAGTATTAATGTAATTCCTACAACGAAAAAAGGTTTATTAAAAGAACAGATTATAATTGTCTTAATGGGACCTTCCATAAAGAAGATTTGCGATGAACAGTTCTGAATAAATACTGTGTATGTAAGGACCAAACTCAAGTTTCCTTATTTTTTCTGGTAGTCAACATCCATATCTCCTTCATATAAATTAAGAACCTAATTAAGAACCTACTAAGCTTAAATTGCCAATATCTACACCAGACCTCAAAAAATGTTGGTTCTGATTAGCCGGTGTCTACTGTACAGCATGCAGAATGTCTTAGGAAAACGTGTTCAGCAGCTATTACCGAATTAGCCATAAAAACATCTTGTACAGGCCTGTACCCGTGCTTCTTGCACAATTTCGTTGTCAGATGTAACATCTCATGACTGAATTGAAGAACACGTGTCGCAACACTTTGTTGCAGCAACCGTAGCACAAGGAATGAAGCTCGGGTTTTTGCAGTGATTCATTCCTTCCAGGGATCTTGCACAACGCAACTCGCATTTTATACAAAACTGCGTTTTGCACGAAACAGCGCACTTTTACTGAACGTAGTAAGAGAAAGGGGACGTGATCCTCAAAGCGACATTGTCATCAAGATTTTCTTCTATTTTCAAAGCGTCTGTAACCAATATAAATCCAAAAGAGTGCCTAGTTCGTGATAAAGTTACCGTTACTATAGCGTGAAATCTGTCAGGTCTTTTGCTGTAAATACGTGCGTGAATCATAAAAACGTTGGATGGACGATTTTGAGTTTGTTAGTGTAGTTTAGTAAAATCCGACCAAAGCCCATTATTGATAGTTTATCACACCTTGGAGAATACAATTATGTCTTTATTTCGTTGTTCAAAGTCCTGTATTTGTACATTGGGTAGCAACCCTCATAATAGATCTCTAGCTTGTATGTTTTGTTTTCCTAAATACGGGTCATGTGATAATTACTCTAGAGAACTGTTCCTTCAAATTTCGTCTTATTTACTTGCATATGAACGCATAATTCATGAAGAGACAAAGCTGGTGCCTCTATAGAGAAGACAAAACACACAAGATAAAGAGCTCTATCCGAGTGCGGTGTACAGGGAAACATGGATCAAGAATCATGACGCAGCTATTTTCTACTTTTGCCTTTTGGTTTTCACATGTCTCCTAGGTCATGCTTGGGCTTATCCCCAAGACTTTATTATGAAAGAGTACTGCCGTTACCTAAACAACCATACAGCTCCATCCTTAAGGATATGTAATTGTGCCATTCTACTGGTATAAGCCTGACGTATCGTGCTTTGATTGGTGGAATAAGAACATGTGTCACAACTGTCCCGCTGTCAGAGTTTCCAAGAAACGCCTGAAGAACAAGACAGAGCTAAAGTTGCCTCTGGTTCACAGGTAAAAACTTTTAATAATTTGGCTTGTACATTGCATACAGAGTCTCTTTCAGTCTTTTCAGAAAAATCAGAAAGAAGAAGGAGATGAAGATCTTTCGTAATTGGATGTCTTACCAAAATAAGACTAAGCATTGGCGGCAAATTTGTGATATCTTTACCCGGCAAAGATTTCAACTGCTGAAAAAACTCAATGCTGAAAAAGACATTTCAATGTGAATTTCTTGCATGATCTTTGTCGCCAAAAGCCTTGAGAGGAGCCAGCCATAAAACATAATTGGGTATCAGTTTTCTAACCCTTTGTCCTCTCTCGTCACAACTTTATCCTACCTTGTCGACGTTTTCACCCTCCTGCTTAAAAACCTCGAATGAACTTCCATCGTCGCCAAATTGCAATTTATATTTCCTTATCCACTGCACATCGTCCTCCCTCCCTTGAGTAGCTACGTACGTGATGCGTGTCTTGATTCGCAGGTCAACCAATATCCACTGATTTTGGTTCACCTGATCAGCTGCTACTGCCCACGCACCTTTGTAATTGCCGATCGCTGGAATATTCAGCCTTGCGCGGTCAGGAGAATGGTTCCCATCCCACTGAGATGACGCTGTCAGCTGCACTGATGTTATTTTACCGTTTTCCATTCCTAAGGGAGCCAAGCAAGCTAGACAGGAAAAAAAGTAAGTTTCGTGCATTTACTATTAACCTTGATCGACATTGAGCGCATTGTGTTATAACTCGTAGTGCCAACGGTATTTTGAACTCTGACAACGATGTGACTCAAAAAGTCTGGCCGTATTAGCTGTGAAAGACACAGCAGTCGTAATGAATCGCAGCTTTCAAAATAATATCTTTTATTGTCAAAGTGTTGGGTTATAAATTTGATCAGTTTCGTTATACAGTCAAAGCCCGCCTTACGGGCACCCGCTCAACACGGACACCTCTGGCAGTATTACGGAACAGTTTGCTTTGCCCCTGGGGAAAGAAATCCTTTACATGGAGACTAACAGACACCCCGTTAATACGGACACTATGGCTCCCTCGGTGTCCGTATTCACCAACAGGGTTTGACTGTATTTTCCGGGACCGTGAAATTATTTTTTTCAATGTGCTTCGACTAACAGCCTGTTAACAAACCTGCGTGGCAGTTTCGTCCTCTGTAACCCGTCTGACAGAAGCAGTTATAGTTATTAACCTGATCGATACATGTCGCACCATTCAAACAAGGTTGACTTAAACACTCATCGATATCTGAAAGGCATCGAAACACGTTAGAGAATAATAAAAAACTTCCACTGCCAAATCCAACGGAATTGCATCTGACATGCGGGTTAAAATTTGGAATGAAAGTTTCTGGAGTTTACTCGTACCATTTTGTCTACAAGGAATGATAAGAACTTGATAAATTGTTGCATTTGGTTCACTGAGGAAACGGAACCATTCACAACGTTGTAAACACTTAACGGTTCGAAATTAAGAGGCAATGTTTTATCAACCCAAACTTTCTAAAAGACGTGACTTCATTTTGCAAACTCATGCAAGTTACAATGTCCGAAGTACTCTAACCATTAGGTAAGAAAATAGGTCAATCCTGTTCAGACTGAGAGTTATTTTGGACTTGGGGAGGGGGGTGGGGGGAAGGGGCATGTACGTAGGGTAAGCAACAAAACCCATCCGCCTGAATCTCCTTAGACATTATAATGCGCTTTACACGTTCACGTATTTCTAATTACTTCTTTACTACAAATGTATATACAGTAAGAGACCATGAAAATAAGAGAAACTCATTTAGAAGGAAGAAAAGTGAAGAAATAGAGCCTCGATTAAGCTAAGAATAGCTACCGTTGTACCGTATCTAACCGATGTACAGAGTTTGGGGTGAGGCGCAATTTTTTAACAGAGGTTAGCTGTAAACTAAATCTCAGTTTCTTTAGTTCTCCATTCTTTTCATTTAAAATGGAAATGAACGTGAGCTATGGCCGATTGGTTGAAACGTAGAGAAGTTGCCAATCAAAAAGGTCAAATCTATATCCAGTTGTTAGTACTTTCCAGATTTCTACATATTCATACTCATATGTAGGTGGAACAAAACGTAGATTGTATGACAGGGAAACGGGACATTTTAAAGCCATTATTTACGAGTAGCTGTCATGCACACAGCGGCGTCTGTTATTGCAGACCACGTCACGTGAACTAGTGATAACTTGAAATGGAGTGGAAATACTAAACTATATTACTGGTACATGCTTTAAAAAAAATCTAATCATATGGTCTTGCTAAGCTTTGTTTACGTTGTACCGGATAGTTTTACTTGTTAACATGAAAAGCTATCCAGTAAAGCATGAACAGCAACTACCTGGGGCTGGGGCAAGTCGTTCAATTTTATAGAACATTCTGCCGGAGCGGTTGGCGGAGATGGCTTGGTGCATTTGCTCCCAGTCTTCACTCCTAAATATTTACTTTCGTGTCAGTGGGTTCCAGTCCTCGGTCCTACTTATTCTTTTCAACTACGCCCCGAATACTTGTTCCACGTGTGGCACAGAACCTATCCCATATGTGACGCTCCAATCAGAGATCGCTCCGTTACTGAAATCGCACCGAAATCGCTGTTCTTGTGCGTGAACAGAAGGCGTGTCCGGTTTGGTTCACGGCATTTTATTCTATGTGCTTCGACTTAAAGCCATTTTAAAAAAGCTAACCTGTTTGGCAGTTCCTTCCTTGGTATCCCGCCTGACAGGAGCAACTATAGTTATTAACCTGATCGATGCATGTCGCACCATTCAAACAGGGTTGACTTAAGCACTCATTGATATCTGAAAGGCATTAAAAGAAGCACAGTGGCGGTAATTCATGGAAATAAAACCCTCATTCCCAAATTCCAAGGTTAATTGCATCTCTAATGCAGCTTGAAATTTAGAATTTCGGTCAAGTAAGATAACTGAGCCATTCAACGACGTCCAAAACATTCGACGGTTCGAATTAGGCACTATAGGGTTTTCCTCAAAAAAGCGTTTATTCTCTCTCACTTTTGAATAGTAAGTATTACCTTGAAAATATTCAGAGTATTAAGCTGTTCATCTCGCATGGTTATTATAACAGGGGCACCCAACGAGAATACAGTTCAAAACCACTTAAACATAGCATTGTTAAACGTGTTTTAGTATTTAAACGGTGGATATGGGCATATTTTTATCTTCTATAAATTTTTCATCTGTTCGGATTTCCTAGCTGAAAGTCTAGTGATCCGAAAATTATAGGGATCAAAACTTACCTGTTCGAAAGTTTCAGCCAGAAAAAAGGCTTCCGAAAATTCTAGGTGACCTTTTTAGGGTAAAAATCCGTTGAAAATGGGCAATTTTACCATTTTTTAGAAGTTCGATAATCCTAGGAGAGGCAGGCAAGCAAGAAATTTTACAACAAATATTCCGAAAATTCTAGATCTCAAATCGTCTTCCGAACAGATATTTTTCCGAAAATCGTCGTTGGGTGCCCCTGTTATAACGTAAGCTTGATTTACAGAAATTTATGAAGAACGTTGGTTTTCTATAGATCTCTTTACTTAAATTTACCGATTTTTAAATGTGCAGTAAAGAAGGGCAGTGGATTATTGTTTTCATTATTGATTTGATAAGATATTTCTTTTATATATATTTTTTATTATTTTTCGTATAAACTGCGTTCCGATATCTGCTGCTTTTTAAAACTGAAACTTTTTTCATGGGATAACGAGTCAGTTGGGTTAAACTAAAATAGAATGGTGTGCTGTTTTACTAACCTGTCGTGCAATAAGAGTCTGTATAGCCTGGGGCACAGATACAACGGTAATTATGCTCTTCGTAATCTGGAAAACAACTTCCTGAGTTCTTGCATGGGTTACTTGAACATGGAGTCTAAAAAAAACCATGTTCATTGAACGTTACTTTGCATGTGATATCCATTTAATATCCAGGAAGTACGTACTACAAACACCCTCACTCGCAAGTACTCGGCGACAAAGTTACCTAGGAAATTACAATTCAAATAACTTTCCCTTTTCTGTAAATGTAGGCATTATATTTCATCCACACTTTTTTCTCTTGTTATAATGTCATTCCTGGCTGGTCCTCAACTTTTAGCTCATTGTTTTCTTTAAAAAGAAGCTCCTAAAAAGAGCTTATCAGCTTTGATTTGCACTTGTTCTCGATGTTTTGATTTGCAGGGTAATGATGGTCGTTAGACCTGGGATATTCAAGTTTAAGCATGAAAAGTCTCCGAGCCAACAACAGACCACTACTCACCAAAATCAATAGTCCGGCAGACTAGAACGAGGAAGAGGGGTTCACTTCGAGGCATAGTATCTTTTACTCTCATTTTTAGCAACTGTCAGTCGTGCAGTCTTGGGGAATTTGATTTTTTTTTAATTGATCTGAAACCGGATATTAAATGTGGTGAATTTGACTAAGATGAAGCCTATTCGTCAATGACACACCAGTAGTTGTTAAAAAACATCCATCACTTCCAAATATATTTATCCTTACCAAATTGTTATAGGATATATTAAATACAATACAAATTTTCATGATTCATCAACAGGACTGATTTTCCCGTATCTTTCGCTTCAAAATTAATAAAAGCAAAAATAAAAAAAATGGTCCATTTTGTTTAGGTTACTAATAGTAAAAATTAAAAAAAAGGAAATACCACCCTTTCTTCAACATCTTACACGCCGCTTTAGGCAACGCTGGTTTCTTTTTCACTCTGAGGGCAAAAAAAACTTCAGTGTGCCACTGTTAGAACCCCAGCCGGTGCAGTCGCACAGCGGTCTCCAAATTGACTTGCTCGTTAATGTTCGTTGCCTCGTGCAGCACCACCTTTACAGACATGCAAACCATAGTACTTGCATGCCACCTGCCTCTCTTGCACCCTCTGCCCTTGGACTTGCCATGAACTCTCCAAAGAACTAAAACATCTGATGAGTTGAGCATGTGAGACTGCTGCTGGCGGAGCAGGGAGAGTGACGGGTGTAGAGACTTAGATACCTCATCCTTTCTTCGGTCCAGCCATAATCGGTGGGTTCATAGTCTGGCTGTAAGGTGCGCCTTCAGATGCAGCACTGGTAGACTTAAGGGTTTCGTTTCATGCCGGACATACGATTGTTTGCAGCCTGCGTAGCAAGCGTTTCCGCACAGGTTTGTCGAAAATTGAGTTGCTCTCGTCCCAACTTTCACGACAAACTTGCGTGGAAACACTTGCAACGCAGGCTATACAAACAATTTACATGTAAAACTAAGGTCGCATGCCTGCGGTACGAACGGTGCAAGTCCGCATTCGATACTTCCAAATGCTGCCTAAAATCCTCTACGGAAGGGTGCTTTTTTGAGTTTCGTTTGTAAGGTTCATTTGTTGGAGACTAAGTGCACAGTTTGGGTATAGTTTCAGCTGCCCCTTTACTTCCTGTCTTTGTTTTCCAAACTTGCCGGATGTCATGTAGTTATATTTTACTGAGTCATGCACTTTGTAGCATGCCAAGGCAAAAGCTGTGGACTGGAGAAATACATCGTAAAAGACAGCAGTTTTATTGCCAAGGAGACTTCAGCTGAACTTCCCTCACTGAAGAAGTTTTAACCTCTTACCCTTTCCGATGGGGGATACACTTGGAGATGGCCAGTGTTACACCTTGGAAGTGCATGGGCTGGTTATCTGTCGGGTATTGGACTGGCAAAGCTTTTTACCGTAACATTTATGTCCACATCGTTCGGCTCTGCCTTTCTTAGGTGACTGCATCACCATGGGGATGTATAGCCCTCTTTCAAGGTAATGGTACAGCTGCAGCAGAACATAGTCATATCTGTGCCATTTGCTTTGTTTTTCTCTTCCTGTGCTAATTATATTTCTTGTGCCGTGACGATTGTGTCTGCTTCGTGTTTTGTCTTGAGGCCCGATCTTGAGGTCAGCTCTCTAATTATCTTCAATCCTAGGGAATTCTCTACAGGCACGGCTTCATCTTGGCCAGTAATAACTAACTTGTAACAATGACTTCCCAGTACATCAATGTCACCTTTTTGCATCCGGATTAAAAGGATCAATGCTTGTTTTCAGCTTCCTTTTAATAGCTAGGCTGTCTTTCTTATCAGCTGCGATGCGCCTCTTTTTTCTATATGTGCCGCGTTTGCAGGTCTTACTCTCAGCTGCCTTTCTTCTAGTTCTTCTATGAGGTAGTCATGAGTTTATATTGGCACTGAGTGGCGCTAGAATCATCCCTCATAAACATGGGATTCATCATATTTGTTACACCAGCAAAACCTGAGGAAATGACCAGCGATGATCGGCGAAATCTTGGATAACAATTTTATTTTTTAGCTGCATTTTAAGGGAAAATTTATATTTTTGTCTGGTCTGTTCAGTCAAACAGCTGGGAATTATGACATACCAGGGTGACTGATTGTGAAGCACGCCTTTGTCCTGAAAATGCTTGAATAAATTGATTTTTGCCGGATGAAACAAATTAGCCGCATACGTTTGTGCGGTTTTCAATAACTTTGAATAAATTATGTTGACGGTCTTCCTTTGTCACAATTGTTCAAATGGTGGCGCGAGTCGCACTTTAATATATAATATAATATAATATAATATATAATATGTGAAGAGTTAAATTTCGCCACTACTGCAAGAGCTTCAGTTGATGGATCAGTAAACTAGGAGTCCCAGGCAAGCTGTTAGAGTATTGAAAAATACTATACAGTAAACACGCGCACATAAGAACCGAAAGATTTAAGAACCTACAGGCTGAAATTTGACATTTATCAAGTTTATAAGAACTTGTTCAACCTGGCGAGGAAGAGAGGTTCTTATACAAAAGATCACCCAGATCAAAATTCTCGATGTTAACTGTATGTGATGAAATCTCTAATAATATGTTATTGTGTGTATATAGCTTGGCAAGTACATGTTTTTCATTTAGTTCTAAGCCAATATGTACTAGTAGTATAATATTTTTGTGAATGACTATGATAAGAAAAACTCTAGAAAATTAAGAACCTAATCAGCCTGATTTGTCAAAAAGTACCCTGAAATACCTGTTCAGCCTGATCTCGAAAATTATAGGTTCTTATATGCGGGTGTTTACTGTATACCAACTGGCAAGGTTATTCATAGCAAAAAGTCACCTTTTCTGTCGGACTATAAGATCTTTTATCGAAATCTGAAAGACTCTATTTATAAAATGTGTATATGAAACTATCGTATTTTATATTTACCTTGATGCTGTAATGATGAAATTGCTGAGAATGGAATATTTTGCCCGCATTTCTGTACTTGTCTTCGGATAAGAGTTCGCATTGCAGCTTTCCTTTTGCAGTCAATAACAAACCGAGATTGAATGAAGAGCACGGTGGGTTATTCACACAGGCCAAAGCACAATCTCGAGGTTTGTCCACTTCACAGGAAGATCCTAACGGAGATCCTTGAAGATACTGAAATTTATGGACTGCAAAATATGCGTAAGACACCCCATGTCGTCTTATGCCACTACCCGCAAGTATTAAACGCTCGCTTTGGTGTGTTACGAACGGATTTCGAACCAGAAAAAACATCAAGAATAGGCGAAGGTTAAGCATTTTGCGTTAATAGCGATTATGTCGGGGCGGTTTTAAGTTAAACGGCTCAAATGCTTTTTAAAAATTGATAAAGTGTGACGTACTTGGATTGAAAGATGAAAAACAAACGAAACACCTGTTTCATATTTTATGATCTTCGGTATACGTTAAGGGAAAACAAAGTATAATAGCTTTTTTACGTCAGTTTGTTCAGTTTACTTTTATATACAATTACTTATTCTTTAGTTCTCTGTTCCCAATAGTCACTGCATTATTTTAACTCTAAACTAACTTTTACATTGCTTTTATAATTATATATATTATCGATTGTATCCTACCTAGATTTTTATGGTGGTTGTTAATATAATTGATTTAATTTTCAATAATAACCACCTCCAAACCGCGGCAGGTCATTTCAACCGTCGCCTTTTGTCAACTCCAGTTCACAAAATGAGAAGGATACGTAGAAAGCCTAAATACATATCTGTTTATTTACCTGTGTTTATGTTATTGTTTTTGTCTACCCAAACTAATTATACTGAATATTTTCTAATGGGAGAACCCGTGTTGTAATAACGATGTGTGCTTTCCTGAAATACGAGTCATCCTGACAGAGATTCAAAATCAAGGGCGGCGAGCCTTTCCCTGAAATGGGAATTGACTTTCTCGTTACTTCTGGTTAGTATAAGACTTACCAAGTTTTTTCAAGTTTTTGTACGAAATACTATATTTAAGATAGGGAGGTTTATTTTCATTTAGACCTTAATATTGTCCAGGTCTCAAAGTATTGTTCGCCACTCGTCCTTTTCGAACTACAGTCAAATCCGGACCTTTTTATTAAGACACTTCGTTTTTATGGACGTTTTTCTTTATCCCTGAGGAAAGCCCTCACTTTTTCCTCTAAATTCAACCCGCTTAATAATGACTGAACACTTTGAGAAACGTATACACAAAGATGCTTTGACCCTTCACTTGGCCAAAGTCAAAATTTAACAAATTTTCGACTTTGAAATTGTAAACTGTTGAACGACAAAAAGTATCAAGTGGAAGCACTGCTGAAGAGGCCTCGCGAATGAAACGACTTCGTAAACGTACAAACTGAAGCCATGCAAGAGAGAAACCTCTGCTCGTAGGGTAATGGTGACAACACAGTATTCCATTCACAGGCTCCAAAGCTAAATGATTCACTCTAGGTGGCGTGGAAGGGTTAATTTCTGTGAAGTGCCCTGTCAACCAATACGTGAAATATTTCTTTCTTGCATCACTTACAAGACCAATTTGCGTTTTATACTCTGACTTACATATGATTTTATATCACTGGCAGAGTTTTTCCTAACGACAAATTATCCATCTGACACAGATGACTTGTCCAGGTGTGAATTCCATCGGCGTTAATCCTTTGAGTTGTCTGTCCGCACGTCGATCTTATAGACGTGTTAACAGACGGATAATTCGTCCAAGACTGTTCATCCGTCTCTAAATTTATGTCTAAACGAAAACGGCGAAGACGGGTTTCTGCCCAGTTTTGACTTTAAGAGACTGGCACCTATCTTCCCCCTTCCTAGAAACCAAAAATCGTTCTAAATTCGTCGTACGGGTTTATTACAAGATGAATTAGTTGTCTAACGGATTATCCATTTATAGTTTCAATTCGGCCATTCATCTGCAAGTAACAGAGATCGGGTTAAGATATAAATTTGGCCAACAGAGATCGTACTTTGCTATAAGGTCTATGATCAGATAGTCTAGATTGGTAGCTAAACTTAAATGACAGTTATTCGTAAGTAAATTATTTCAGTTAATAAAAGCAATTAAATTAAATCCAATTTACAGCCATGCCTGGCACTGTATGCTCCTCATTATTTCGGAACTGTCTCCTTCGAAGTCCGCAGATAAACTCTGTTTGTAATGTTCAGTTTACTGCATGGTATCTTCTCATTCTTCTGCAATTTAACGTACGAGCATCTTATTGTCAGCTTTCAAGCGATGCCGATCTATGCCGCCTCAAAGCAATGGTTAGTTGAGCTGTTTAGTTTTGGAAGGGAAAAACTCGTCAGTAAGTAATATTAGAAGAATTTAGATTTTTAAGACATTCTGTTGGACCTTAAGCAATACTTCTGGACTGACGTTGGTTTATCTGCCAATCATTCCGGGCGACCAAAGGAGAACATAGTCCTATTCCTCAGATTGCAACTATTACGCAAGCGCAGCACGTATGTAGGTAGCTTCGTTTAGACGTCCACTAAGAATGAGTGAACTCGATCTGGTCACGAGCGTTTGGACCTTCTATCTCTCGTAATCGGATTAGGCGCGTTTAGTCCTTCTATCGAGTGAAACTTACGCAAAGAGCAGCGTTTGAGGAACCTCCAAAGCCTGAAACTCGCCCCCTCTCCCTCTTTGGTTATTATTTGTAACTATTATACGTGCCCAGCACGTAAATGGCCAGCTAGCATTCGCTAAGCAATAAGTCAGTCAATCATTGCGGGCGAGCCGAGGAGCCCGCAATCCTTTTCTCCACGTTGCATGTCACTATTATACAGTGAGGGGTGTACGTAGCTAGTATTAGTTTAGACTTCGACTAAGAATGAATGAATGAATGGGATGCACAACGCGATCTGTTCACGTGCGTTTGTTCCTTCTATCACACGCCGATCTGATCACGCGCGTTTTGACCTTATATCGCGTAAAACTTACGCAAAGCGCAGCGTTTGAGGAACTTCGATCAGAACCCTGAAACTCGCCCGCACTGCTTCAGGGCCTTTGGTTATTACTAGTGACTATTACACTTGTGCGAGACGTATGTAGCCAGCATTCGTTTCGACTTCGACTAAAAATGAATCGAATACATGATAGGTAAACATTATATCACTTGTAATCTGATCACGCGCCTTACGACTTTTCCATCACTCGAAACTTTCGCAAAGCACAGCGTTGGAACTGAAAAATTTGCAGCGATCTCACCCGTACTCGCTTATCTTGGGTTATTACTAGTAGATATAATACCTTGATAAGTGTAGAGCTCTATCCTCATTGCTATGTGATTCACCCACTCCGTTGGCCTTATTCGCAAGTATCGAGCTGTGATCACTGGACTGAGATGCTGATAAACGATGGTGTCCCGGTCAAAGTTACCAATAAAAACCTAAAGAACGGCGCAATGGTCAAAATGAGTGTATATTTTGACTCTCAATAATACTAACCATTAGGGGAAATGGTTCGAAATATGGGGAGTTCGTTAAGTGGAGATGGATCAAATGATAATTTTTTCAGTGACAGTTATGTATTATATTTGATTCATGCTCAAACGATGTAAAGTCGGGATTCTTACGAAGAAAGAGTGCAAACATCGAAAATTTGGTAAGTGAAAGACCAAGGCATTGGTGTTCGGTACTTTGGATCTTTGGCTCAGTTACTTCGCAAGGGAGGTCGGGTTTAATGACCTAAAGGGGAAAAAATCCGTGTTAGCGAAAACTTACACTTGACGAGGGTTAGACCGTATCGAGGGTATATTTCAGCAAAACTATGGGAAACGTCCAGGGAATATCAATTTTGATTTGGGTTCGCGCAATTTTCGACTTACTTAAGGTTCGACGTATCCTGTGGTGCGAGTTTTACAAAAACGGTGCTCTGGTTCAGACCAACTTATGTGATTGTTGCAACCCTAATGCTGAGTTAAATCCTTGTTCAAAAAAGACTTGTGATATTAAAACATACCAAATTCCTGACCCTGGTTTCAGTTCACAAAATACCTTAACTATAACCTATAGACCCAAAATGTCAAACCCTCACCCAGTTTAAACAAAAGGAGTAAAAACCACATCCTTGTGGCGCCGCGAATACCCACGTAAAAATATCCAGTCTGATCTACTTTTATTTCATTATAAAATTGTTTCAAGATTTATATGAGATCAAAGCATTTTCCTTTTAATGATCATTTTTTGGTCTCTCATAACCTTTCTCTTGATCATGTATCGAAATTGTTAAGAGAAAATTGATGTTGCAACTATTGGGACTTGAAAAGATAAGCAAGTATCTTCTCCTCACAGGCTTTAAAAACTGTTCTAATTACCACTTCAACTTCATGAAGTAAAACAGAATTTTCTTACCTCATCTGAAGACTGTCCCTCTCTCTTGTAAAACTGGAACGTCTGTCCATCGTTGCTATATTGCAACTTGTACTTTGTTACATATTGAAAAGGGGAGTAGGTATTTCGCCCCTGTGTAGCTATGTGTGTCACATTTATGACTTTACCAACATCTATCTGAAGCCACTGGTCTGCATCGTTCGTCGAACTCAACCACGCACCTCTCTCCAGCGGTGATATTTCCTTTGTATGTAATCTCGATCGTTTCGTTGAATGGTAAGCATCATATTCTGAAGACGCTGTTACCTGTGAGTCAGCAAAAGCGCCGCTCTCCATTCCAAGGGCTTGGATCTCTTCTGTATATGAAAAACACGCACGCATCATGATCGACAGAATGTTTCAATTCTTAAGAGTGTATGGAAGAACAATCCCAAAACCCCGCAAACTTTAGTTAAACTGACACGATTTCAATACACGAATAACAAAATTAGACCTGTTCAACGGTTATGCCCCACTTACGGAGTTGGATGTGTACATATACAATAATATATAGATTCAGCCAGGGCTAGAGGCGAAGCCTCTTTTTATATACTTATATCTATTCTGAGAAATCCTTAACTTGAATCTGACGTTTGCAGTTCGCAATAAACGAGACCCCCAATAGTCTCTATTAAGGAATATTATCAAAAGGTTGAGTTTGATCGTCCGGGTAAACGTAGTCCTGAATAGGACTGTTGTTGTTGACAGTGACTGACGTTTCGACAACCTGTGCGGTAGTCATCTTCAGAGTCAAAGTGAGTTGTATCACGTCAGTTGATGGTATTATACTCTGGTTATTGATCTGATTGGTCAATTATGCCGCGATGTTATAGGTCGTCTGTCAGTTAAGCCGTGATGTTATTGGCCATGAAGACTCGTAATCAGTGATTGGTGCGTTTTGATCCGTCTATTATCACAGTTAAACAGTCGTTTATTCTTAGTCAAATTGTCAGTTCTCCAGTTGTTCTCTCGTAGTTAGTTTTGCTTGATCTCGTCAATAAGTCGTTTGTACGGCGCTGGTAACTGTTGGCTACGATTCAGTGGCGTTTTTTCTAAGTTAGTAAACGAGCTTTCTAAAGTAAGACGTTGATAGTAGTCTGGAGAATACGTTATACAAGTCGCAGAGTCCCAGTCAATTTGATGTTTCGTCCCGCAAACACATCTGAAATAAAAATTTAAAAAAAACTCACCCAGCAAAAGCTTAAAAGACGCGTGTTTAAAGCAAAAAGTGATAATTATGCACCAGCTTCGATTACTGTTGTAGAATTCTTCCAAACTAAATCACCGAATCGCCCACAACACCCTTTTGCGAAATTCTAGGTCAGCCATTAAATTTGCTGTTTCTGTAGCCCTTCGGTAGTAGCAATTTGCGGGTTACAGTTTCTTATAGGGTCAAAATTTCTGTGTTAAGGGAAGTTCTAAAAGCAAAATCAGGCCGACTTTTGTGTTCATCGTAAGCTTGTTATGTGTTTTTGTTTTGCGCCCGAACGAACAGTCATGTGTAAATTAGCCTTTACATTTATACCTCACAAATCATCTGATAGAAAATTTTTGCAAATCACTCATTTAACATTTTTCTCTACTACAACCTACATAAACTGTGCGGTACGTGTTTGGGTATTGTGCATTGCCTTTACTGAGAAAGCCTGCGTGAACTTTCAAAAACGCAGCCATCTGTTATTGATTCGCATTGAATTTATGCAACGCTTTCCTCAACTACAAATAACTAAACAAAGCATCAAACCAGAATCTTGATTAGCAACTGTATTTCATGTTATGGCAACATTAAAAGAACACAAAGTTTCAGTTGTCGATAAACAAACTCATCAAGATGCTGCACATGCATTGTAATTTTTTACGCAAATGCACCTGTCAATCTGAGACTAGATTGGTTCCTGGAGCGTTACGAAAAGCGTGACCAAGCTAAAAGCAAAGCCTTCAAAATATACCTTTTAAAGGTTTTTGTCGTAAGTCAAACAAAAGAAACTAAAGGGCCAAATATTTAAACGTAGTTTAGCCAGTGTTTAACAAAACCGCGTTCTAAGTCATGTACAATTTGCCCAACGATTTTATCTAAACATCATTTATTGTGAACAGTTTAATTTTATGAAAGCATATAGAGAGGACTAGAAAAGCATTTATCTTAAAACAGCCCACCAAAATTAGACTTCGTTTAAATATTTGGCTCAAACAGTTTCAGTGGAACAACTCCATTGGCTGCCTCTAAACGAACAGGTTTTAAAAAATTGGCCAAGACAAACACAAACTCTTGTTACTTAGTCCCTCCCTGATAGTCTCTACGTACGGACGACGTACGGGTAGGCCTGTGCTGACGTCATTAACTAATTTTTTTCGCATTGACAGGTTTCCAATTTATGGAGGCTCCCCTAAAAATACCGCTTGTGTAGGCTTTTACCGACGCTCTTTGCGCGAAATATTGCCAGTGGTAACACCTTCCGATCATGCCTCGCAAAACTTTTGTTGCAGCAACCTTTACACAAAGATTGAAGCTCTGCTTTTTGCAGCTATTCATTCATTCCAGGGATATTATATTGAAAAACTCTCGCAAAAGTTGCATGACACATTACCTGGTGTAACAATTCTTTTAAAATCCCGAGTCCGCGCAGAACGCATGCGTAGTAGGTACCAAAATGAGAAGTTATCCTAAAAAGGGTAGTATCACCCAGATGTAGAGCCTGCTAAAAGTTCCAAGCCATAACATCGACTGGGCAAAAAGGTGGAACAAAACTTGAAAACCCTGGGTCGAAGATTTCAAGTCGGGCTTTCAAAGGTTTTCAGTGTTATCTGGGAAAATTTTTGCTCAAGAATCTTTGATTGTCGTTTGGTCACTCCTTGGAGAATTTATTAACCCATTGACGTGACGCCTAGCACTTTTTACGTTTTCGAGTGATTTTCTACATACAAACAATCCATAGGATTTCGTGACCCCGTATTTGGGGTTACCATTTCTGAAGCACTGAAGGCTCATGTGTTCTAGAAACGTTATTCTGACAAAGTTGAGCTATAATAACGGCTGCAGTTTGGTTTGTATGCGATTTTTGGTAAGTTTACAGCCATTGTTCATCCTATTGGCTGCCGCATGAGCTGAGAGTCCACTTTCTCAAAGAAGCGAGTAAGGTGATGTTCTGCTATTGTGAATTTAGCTTGTTGCTTGAGGAACTGGAAAAATGGCCGCGCCGATACGAAGTACCTTTGGGACTCGACTACTGACGAATTTCTTGACCTACCAGGGCATATTTTGGAATTCATGACCATGCACTGAGAATTTCCGTGGTAGGTTGGAGTGGCTGTGGACTTGGTATAAATGGGAAAAGAGCTGGAGCAGGAACGAACGCTGTCAAAAATTCTGGCTATTTCCTAGCATGCAATGTAGCAGTGATGTTGAAAATCGAGACAAGACCAGGATGCACTAGAACAAAAAGCTGTGACGCGTCCCGGGAAACGAAAAAGAACAAAAAAGTCACTTCTAAGCAAGAACAACGACTGAATTTTAGGGTGAATGTTGACTTTTGGTTTTGCAATGATGATTTCTGTAAAAAACCTGAAGGCAATAAAACGTGATCTTTGTCGTTTTTCTATGACGTTAAAAACGGTCATTTTTTTTTGTCCAAATTCAAAAGGTAATATTTTGCAAAAACCGCCGGCTTTTTTGGGGGATAATTGGAAACCCCGATTTGAAGGACTTTTTACTCAATGCTCACAACTGACAGAAAGTTGCAATGTTTTAAAGTAGGTAGTCTTTTACGGCCAGTTTTGGCCAGCACGGCCGTCAATGGGTTAAAGTTTTTTTTCCTTGAATCCTCATAATTAGAATGTAGTTCATACGAAAACATGGGATAATTATGATACTGCCTCCTTAGGCTCCTTCCATGGCTGCCTCATATGCCTTCTACGTCATACACGCGCCTTTCCCCAAGACATGAAAGAGTACTGTACCTAAACAACCATACAACTCCATCCTCAAGGATATCGTATGCTGCCACTCAGTTGGTATTAACCTGAAGTATCGTGCTTTTATAGGTGGAATAAGAACATTTTTCACGACTGTCTCTTGGTCAGTGTTGCCGAGAAACACCTGAATAAAAAAGAGAAAAAGAGTTAGTTGTTTCTGGTTAAAGAACCTTTCCCTCTTACCCTCTTTCCTCTCTTGTCACATCTTAATCCTACCTTGTCGACGCTTTCACCCTCTTGCTTGAAACCCTCGAATGAACTTCCATCGTCACCGAATTGCAATCGATATTTCTTTACCCATTGCACATCGTGAGGATCCTGGATATCGTCCGCCCTTCCTTGAGTTGCTACGTACGTGATGCGTGTCTTGATTCGCAGGTCAACCTGTATCCACTGATTTTGGTTATTCTGTCCCACTGACCATGCTCCACTGCCGTTAACGTTCGCCTGAATGTTCAACCTCGCGCGGTCAATAGAATTGTACCAACTAAACTGAGATGACGCGTTCAGCTGTGCTGATGTTATTGTACCGTTTTCCATTCCCAGGGGAGCCAAGCAAGCTAAACAGGAACAAAAGCAAGTTTCAAACACTGTTATTTGCCGCGGTAGCAGCAAATCAGTGTTTTCACGGTTCTATAAGTACAGCTGACAGTCGTCATCTCTGTATCACAAGGGCTTATCACCACAAAGACATTTTTGAGAGCCATCGATTTAACCTCAGGTTTCAATAGTAGTATCTGGGAATCAAACTACATTTTATTAAACACTTAAGAATAAAAATCAGCGAAAAGAGTTTAAAGTTTCGATGCCGCCCAGACCTCATCATCAAGTAGAAAGATAAAACAATCTAAAACCAAGGAAAATCTCTCTGCGCCTTATATGTTCATTAAAGTTTTGAAACCTGTTATTGGCTACTGAAAAAGCGCAGGTAGTAGAATTTGTACGATTTTGCGTGAAGGCGTAAGTGAGACTTCTCGTAAGGAATCTGCTTCTATGGACGCCATAGCGGCATTAAGGGGAGATCTTACCAAGCTGGGTCTTAGCTTCTAATCATAGACAAAGTTTTTGGGAACTGCCACTTATAAATACGGGATGTTTAAAGTCGGGAAATCCTCCTCATTCGTAATGGAAAACTGAAAAAAGTTACAGTTAAGTTATGGCATGGAATGGTACTGTATCATTGAGAGCGCCTTTTATAGAATTTAAGCTTATTATCAAATCTAAGTAAAATATTCTGCTGTTTTACAAACCTGTCGTGCAATAAGGGTCTCTATATCCTGGGGCGCAGATACAACGGTAATTATGCTCTTCATAATTTGGGAAACAAATTCCTGAGTTTTTGCATGGGTTACTTGAACACGGAGTCTACAAAAAAAATGCCAATTCATAGGTTAACACAAACGTTTATAAAAATCTCAAAAACTCCTGTTTACTATTCTGATGGTCAAATCAAAACCAGCGTAGGTAGACAAGCCTGAGTTATTATTTAGCAGTAGTAATAACATCAATTAAGTCACCGACACTTCCATTTCTAAAGTGGAAGACGGACCGTTTTAAGAACACTTTTATTTTGTCATCGTGCCTGAAGTAGAATTAAATGATTCGGTTGTAATGCTTTCATATATTATATTCATGAATTTTTGATACTGATTAGCCTGCGTAGCTGGCGGTATTGTGTACTAGTCGAGTGAGATTTGGCGGTGGAGCCGTTGTAATATAGTCGACCCTACTCCCTTATTTTGGAACACAGCTCCGCCGCCAAAACTTTAATCTCGCACCCACACAATACCGCCAGCTACGCAGGCTAAGTATTGATATATTGTAAATTTTTCTATTTTATCTATCTGTGTTTTGGAATGTCGTTTTCTTGGGAGAATTGTTCAGTCATATCAGGTCGAACCATTGCGAAAAAAATAATTTTGCAAGTGATCGCCACACTCAACGAATAAGGAAGTTCCTATACCGCAGACACCATGGCAGCGACTCCGCGACTAAGTTATTTCGAAGTAATAATAAGTTCATCCTTCCCTTTTTCTACAAATGTAGGCTGTAATTTTTATTCAAACTATATATTTATTTTCACTCTTACAATTTAAAGACTTTTAGCTTATCCCTTTTTCGTGGGCAGGTGTTTGCCATTCGCCAAATGCTCATGTTCATCATTGCGTTGAAAAAGCTGTCGGCATGTGTAACCTGCTTGTTGAAGAGCTTTAGAGGCTGCAATTCAACGAGAACGATATTGGGCTGCCTGTGACCCAGCCCAATTATGGAATGGCCTTTAATTCTCCGTCGAAAAAAAGAGAAAATGTCGGACGGATCACCAAGAAGGCGGTGAATGTCCCAGCCCTTCTCCATTATGAAAGCCATGTAAGTACTAGCTTTCATTGCAAACAGACTTGTTACCTAGATAGAGAACTCAAGACTGTCTGCGACGCAAGTGCAAATGCCAGATAAGAAACGATTCCCGCCACATGCCCTACTCAAATATCCTTAGTCCCAATATCAAAAAGAAGTTTGTGTCGATTAAAAAATGCAACCGTTCTTATCATTGTTCTGTTCAAAGATTAAAGAAAAGCTGACGTTACAAACGAATACAGCTTTCCGAACCAAAGCTTGGAAAGAAAAAAAACGGTGATCTGAGACCAGCGTTAACAAGTAAAGACATTTCCGATGAGATCAAAATTACAAAGGCCAAACCACCTCTAATTTATCAGAAATTCTTTGTCTGCAAATACAAATGTTATCCGAGCGGTACATGGGCTATCTATTCACGTTCCATCTGAATTGTAAATATCATCCCTGGGGATTAATTAATGATACAGTGGAACCCGGTTAATACGGACACCAAGGGGACATGCCATGTATTTTGTTGAGTCGATCCGTAAGAATTTCGTGCTCATAGACGGAACTGGCAGCTATTGTAATGGAGGACTTCATTCACTTTTTACAAGCCGCAGTGGTTTAAGATCTGTTTTCTGGGCTTTATCATGATCAAGAAACGCTGCGGTAACGACGTGGCTACATTTGCGAAGTAGTCGCATGTAACTTTATATGCACGTACAGTCACCGATGGAAATATGTCAGTGGTGGAGAAAGGTTTCTTTGCCGTAGCCACATATTGGCGTTAATATTTGTCGATTTGTGAAGTCAGGTGGTTTGAGGTAGGTTATGGCATCGATATCACCGAATAATTTGTTCAAATGTTGGAAAAAACCAGTCCGAAACTCTGACATCTTTCATCATCGTTGGCAGCTTGTTTACAACCTACAGCGGCCGATTTTGTACCATATCTTGATCAGAGATCTCTCTTTGGAACAATTTCTTTCGTTAAGGAATTTAATTTTGACTTAAAATAAATCAAGAATGCTAAAACTGTCCGTTTTGTTGCTGGTTGGCATATGGTTAAGTTTTCCTAGAGACGTTGTACACCAGAAATTCACACAGTTGTTGTCTTTCTCTGCGATTTGGCATCGCTTGAAATGTAAACTGCTTTCCAGCTTTATACTTAATAACTTCTAAACCTATGGCAGTAGCGAATTGTGACGCTCAGTAATAAAATTTGGAAACCAACGCTTTTAATACTAAGAAGGGCTGGGTAAGTAACTTGTTCTGTTTTTCAGCCGGCTTTCTAAAATCGTTGTTTTCAGATCAATAAGCCGGTTTTGTTTATGGCTCGTGGTCCGGATGCCTTTTTCTATGGGTTTACCGGTATAATAAACCATAGGCTTTTGACCAATCAGATCACGCGTACTATCTCAGTTATTTTATAAATAATAGGAAACACTGGCACGCATAGTCCCATTCACTTCATTTTGTCCGACACGAAGGTGATTGGCGACCCACCCGCCCTCCCCAGCGAGTAGGTCGGGTTCCAGATTACCTATTCACGTATTCAATTGAGTCTGTCTTGGGCTTGTCCCAGGTCCTCCCCATACCTTATTATAATGCCATGAATAACAATACCCAGGGATGAATATTATACAAGCCAACAGCTTTTTTCAGTTCATCCAAACATTCGAAGATTGGAAACACCTGCGCATCCGCGACGTACACAATCAGACGATTAAAGATTTACCATGCCGAAGAAATTTCGTGGAAAATATCTGGATTGCTTAATCTAAGAAAGCCTCTTTATCACAGAAAAGAAACCCTAACTTTTGAAACCCAATTTGACCATGTGAAAGTAATACCATTTATATGATAATTAACTGACATTTCTCTTGTAACCACGTGCCATTATAAAACTGCATAATTTATATAATGAACTCACAAAATTCAGAAGTACACGAATTTGGAAACGATAACAAGAAAAAGCGTCTTTTAGATTACATTCGCAGATTTTAACTCTTACAACAGCATACCAGGCTCGATTCGTATTTGTCCTTGAAATTGTGATTATTATATGTAGGCTTTGCAGGGATGGTCATCAGCCCTCGGATACTAGTTAAACATGAAATGTCCCCGAGGCAAAAAAAAAAAAGTCTTGTCACTCTTTATCTAGCAAATATGTTTACTAAGACGGCGGACCAGGTGGGGACCGGGGGTGGGTTAGCACCCCACTTTTTTCAAAATAGATAGAGACTCACTAAGATAGAATCATTTCAGCCTCCTTACGTCAATTCAGCACTCGTCACCCTCCCCAAACAAACACCCACAACCCCCCTCCACTTGGAACAATGTTATATGTCCCTGGTATACGCAGCGAAAAGTAATATATTTACCTTGATGCTGTAATGATGAAATTGCTGTGAAGGGGATATTCTGCTCGCATTTCTGTACTTGTCATCAGTTAACAGTTCGCAAGCCAGCTTTCCCTTTGCTGTCAACAACAAACCAAAGTTGAATGAAAAGCACGGTGGGTTATTCAGACACACCAGAGCACAATCACTAAATTTATCTACTTCTCGGGAAGAACCTAACGGAGATCCTTGAAGATACTGAAATTTATGGACTGCAAAATGGGCGTAAGACACGCCTTGTCGCCTTATGCCACGATTAACTGGTATTAAACCCTCGCTTTGGTATGTTACTAAAGGAGATCGAAAGAGAAAATACAGAAAGTAAGGGCGAAAGTAAACCATTTTGCCTAATGACGATTACGTCGAGACGGCTCAGTTTTGATATTTTGACTGCTATTTAAAAATTAAGAGGGGGCGTATTTTAATCATAGACGAATGACAAACGTATAAACACCTTTTTAATTGTTTTTTTTTTATCATCTTTGCTACGTTACGCAACTAATGTATCGCTCAAACTGTTTTGTTTGAAAAGGAATCTGTTCCAAATAGTTTCCTTTTTATTTACGTTCTAACCTATCTTATCATGATGGAATATATCAGGATCGCAGCAGGGTGGTTATCGTGGCTATTAATAATTAATACAATGAATATTAATAGTTGATTAAATCTTAAATTATCACCTACAGTCTGTGACTAATGGCGTCACTTGGCGTCGACTGTTCGCAGTATGAGTAATGTGATATGAAGGTAATTTTAAGCAGTTTAGAAACGAAGACTTCAAAACACTAAAACGAAGACCCTAAAAACGAAAACGAAGACTCCTAAAAAACCAGGTGGTTAAAAACTTTTCGAACACTAATGGTCACTAATAAATAATAGAGAGTTTTAGATCCGAGTTTACCGCGAACCTCTAACCGCTGGGAGTCACGTGACAAGTCTTTCGCGTCACGTTTGAGGTTTACGACGTGCGTTTTCAACGTGGGGAGGTAGGTTTTCACGTATGCCATTTACCTGAAAGCTTTTAGCGTATAATTCTTGTTTTATCCCACGTAATGATACAAAAATCTTGTGCAGCAAGTCTTTATCCATTAACAGAGGCACAAATTCGGGCGAAATGCTAAATTTGATAAATCCTATTGGATCTTGAAAACAAGTGCCATTCATGGCTGCTGATTCAAAATGGCGGCCGAAAATTTATAAGAAGAACTAATGTAAGAATTTACAGCTCTTTACTGCTAGATAACCCAGCGTTACCGTAAATTTCTTTTATTTTCACTGATTGATATTTCTTCCATTTCTAAATGGAAAAATAAATTCAGAATCCACTTCTTTAATCCACCGCCAATCTAAATCGAATTATCTTTGAACGTCGAACCGCAAACGGGTAACCGCAAACCGCGGTTAGAGGTTCGCGGTAATCTCGGATCTAAAACTCTCTAATAGCTGATAACAGCAATTACCACACGTATTTAATCTTGAGGACATTCAAATGAAATTCATGTAAGATCCCCTCAAAGAAAATTACAATGCATACAAATTAACATTTATAGGTTCCTCATTATGCTTTTTCGTTAGTCACCATTACTAAGTACATGTATCTCTTAGTCACTAAGCCGGCGTTCATACAAAAAATTGCACACATTTTTCAAGGACTTTTCAAGGACCACATTGGATTTTCAAGGATCACTTACTAGGAATATAATAGAGATGAGAAGTGTGATGTCACGTAGTCATGGTAGCACTATTTCTGGATGACAACAAAACCAACGACGACGGCGATGGCAAGGAGATCGGCAAAAAATGATATGTTTATATTAACAAACAACAACTTTGCACGTGCATCACGCTATTTTGTAGATTTTTTGCCTTTATTACACCACTATGACATGAAACTTCCTAATTTCACGAGCTCGCTTTATGGAGTAGGTGAACACAACACAAAAATTGTCCCTTTCATTTTATAAACTTAGATAACGTTAGATATGGTCCCAAAGTTAATTTTGCCAAGACTTGCTAGCCTGCGCGCAGACGAAATTAAACTCTGGTTAACTCCGTCTGCGAAACAGCGCCGAAATCCTTGTTCTGGACTTCCAGCTGTGTACCCAGATTTGAGTACACGCCACGATTGGCCAGTTAAAAAAGGCCTTTCTTTTGTTTGTCGTGATCGCCAATCAGGTTGAAGGGGAATTCGAAACGCACTTCCGGTAATTCGTTGAGTCCGTTGGGGGTCCAGAACAAGGATCTCTGCGCTGCTTCGCAGACGGTACTAATCAGAGGTTAGTTATCGTCTGCACGCAGGTTAAGACTTGCCAAATTAAATGAAATTGAATGAGATCGATTAAGTTTGAAATAGTGCGCATAGACCCTTAAGTGACTTTTTCGGTTTGTTGTCATCCAAAAATTTTGCTACCATGGCAACGTGACGTAACGACTTCTCCTCTCTATTTGAAAGACTGTAAAAAAATGCACATTTCCAGTCTATTCTAATAAGACTTAAAGGCGTGAACTGTTTGCTTCACCAACTTGTCTATACAGTTTTCAGTTCACTTGTCTTTAATTGATAGTTACCTATTGCATAAAACATAGAGCACTTTATGTAAATAGCCTTTAAATTATCTGAGCTGTGATTTACATTCTCTCTTGGACAACCAAAAAGCATCAAATAATTCTTTCTAGGCCATTACGTTCAAAGTTGAAGAAAATTCAAGGGCTTTTCAAGGACTTGGATAGAAATTTAAGGGCTTTTCGAGGAAAACTGGAATTCAAGGACTTCCCCTAAAATTCAAGGACTTTTCAAAGACTTGGATAGGAAATTTAAGGGCTTTTCAAGGAAAAATGGAATTCAAGGACTTTTCAAGGACTTCACCCAAAATTCAAGGACTTTTCAAGACTGTGCGGACCCTATAAGCGCTAACATAAACAACGTTAACAGTGGTTTGAATGGACTAGTTTCTGTCTCACAGGGCTGCATGGATCCAGGAAAAGGGTTGAGGGGTTTGCATCCCCACCTTCAACCCCCACCCCTTTGGAAGGTATGGAAATTTTCTGGCCACCCATGTCTATCTAATTTTCATTTCAGAAATAAATGCCGACCAAGCTATCTCTCTTTGTACTTTTGGTCAGTGCAAGACTGGTTATAGGTTTATGTTTTGCAATTTTAGCTAGGTGGAGTAGAGAGTTTTTCATCATCTTGGGTTTTGTAGAACGCAGTATTGCCTGTCTTTTCCTCCTGTCATCCCTCCTCTCCACGTACTATCCATTGATACGCGCGTGTGTATACTACTCATACTAGCTAGTTACCTTAGTCCTCTAATCTAAGAGGGTCTTAATGAGGTTACCCGTCAGCCGCCAAAGAGGTAGTTTTTTAACCTTATCTTTATAGTAAAAAAAAAATGTAAAAAGGTTTCTCCACTTCAACTCATCTACAAGGACTGGCTCGTGAAGAATCTCCAAACTATAAAAACCAGTCCCCGTGTTCTCAAAAACACTCTTATAAGTGAAAGGCCAAGACAACCTTCATAACACAACAGTTAATATCAACTTATACAGAAATTTATATTTACCTCAACTCTCCCACTAAATAACCGTCAACTGCGGGTCAAAGCTACCACCCCATATTGTATTGAGCACCTCATCTAACTGTGTTAAGTACTGTTTAAAAAAAGAGCAAGAGTGTGTGTACTCGCCTCGAGTTTTTAAACATGATAATACATAATGTGTTTTTTGAACGGCTTCAAAATCTCCGATATAGATCATCCATTCTTGCACTAATATTTAGATTTGGGGGATTTTGGTCTAAAAAAGTGGACGTAAGGTTTTGCCGTGTCTTTATCACGGGTTTATCAGATATAAGACACTCGTTAAGCATTAATTTCTTTTGTTTTTTCTTTATGAATTATTAATGAGTTTGAATTATTAATAGACAATACATCTATAAAGCAGCAATACGTGTAATATTTATTTCTTAAATCATTTACATGACGAATTGCTATAATTATTATTTAGTACTGAACGAATACTTCAGTACATGTGCTTAATAATAAATATCATGCGCTACTAAGTACTTACATTTTACGTCATTTACATCGTCCTTTTCTATAAGTACTTAGGTACCTTTACAAACTTTTACAACAAAGGTTTATTGCTCTCAAACTCACAAGAGCAACAAGAGCTGACAATAGCGGTGACAGCACAAACAGAGCATTTTATGCCATGTATAAGCCGATAAGAAACGGAACCAACATTTTAAAAATGCTTTGAAGCTCAAGAATCTGTAGGTAGCAAGAGTTTTTCTATTTCTTTTGGGGGTTGAGAATCGAGGTATAGTTCAGTTCTACACAAGTTTGAGAACCTTTGTCTGCAAAGGGGAAAAATTGTTACATTGTGGTATCATAAAAAAATTTGTTTGTTAATTCGTGAATTAAATTTAAAAGCGGAATCGCCAAGCATTAAACGCTCTTAACTGCAACGAACCTTTGATATTAATATTTTTATCTTAACGTCAATATTTGCAACCATTTCCAATTTTGAACACAATCCGTTGCTTACAAACTGTGAGAAATATTTGAAAATACCAGTTGAATAAATGTCGCGCCAGCTAAAGGGAACGTTTGCGTCGGGTTCTCTAAGTGCCTTAATTTACAGAGTAGTCGTCGAACTAGTTATTCCCGGATTAGGTATGCCCAGGAACATATCTTCTTCTCGAGTTCCATCCCGATTCCAGCGCAGAGTGAAAAATTCGATGTTGGTGACTAGCTTGGTTGGGTGGTATAAATTCTGTCTGTTGCGTCTAAAATAGAGCATGATAATATATGAGCAAAATAAATATAATACAGGTAATTATTCATATATATTATCCTTCTCTTTTTACTCTCAATAAACTTAAAGTGATAAAATTGTACTTGTATATCCAGAAATTGGTTTTTCTTCTACTATTTCAAGTTGCCGACTTCAAGGTTAAAAAGTGTTCTGCCGCCTCAAAGGTTTGAGGATCAGTTTACGTTTCTGGACCAATGCCACCCACTTAACCCTCCCCTAACCAAATGTTAACACTAACGTCTGCATGACTTTGGGTACAATGGTGGGTTAGGGTAAGGATGGGTAGTTTTTCCTATTAGACTATTGTTTACCAAAAGTACATGACTGAATGGGACTACCACTTAGTAAAAAGGAAAACTTTTTTGCTTGGACGTGCAGAAAAAATAGTCAGCTTGAGAGATTACAAATTAAAGTAATTTTGTGTTTAGGTGTGCAGAGGTAATGTGCCTGACTTTAAAGCTAAACGGCGATAAGTGGAAAGTTCGTAGGCCTCATTATTCAGTGCAGCCTATACGTTTCTGGTCACGTAGTCCGAGCGAGTTTTACGTCACCCAAATGCATTCACCGAGAATTTCTGGGAAGACGCCGTTCAAAGACCAGGCAAGAAAGAGCATAGTATTTACATCTGAATCTTATAACAGATATTTCTAATTCAGGAAAGGAATTTATGTGAATCGCGTGAAGTGGATTCTGTGAAGCGAAGCCTGGACACACACATGCATTTAGTGAGTTGAAAAGTGATTTCTCGATTAGAATACTGAGAAATCGCTCTTATTTTTCTTCCACAGTTAGAGCCAGCAGCCCATTTCTGGTTGAAGCTTAAAGGCACCAGTAATTTTTTTTTATAAAAATGTGGTAATGAATTTCCTCAGTGTCGTACAATAATTGCTCACACGATTGGAAAATGAGAGCAACGAACAACCGGCCTTGGGACTAACATAAATTTTCTGAGCCTAAAATCATGAAATACCCTAACTTAAAAGTTGCCATCGCATCTCGCTTTCGTAAACAACAGACAATGCATGTAAAAGCCACTGAAATATACACCTAATTGAAATAACATTGTCATGCAAAAAGGGAATTGAAAAAGCCTGATAGGAACGAATTTGGCACGCTTTCTACATTCAGGGATCAAGTCTGACGAGAGAATGAACAGGAGATTATATCGTCTTTACAGGGGCCAATATCATTATTTACTTCAAATGGTTCAAATGAAGTATGTACTGTTCTGGCAGAATGTTTCAGAGTTTTCAAATATCAAAACACAGTTTGCGTGGCTTATTAATTACTATTTGGCTTTCTATGGTTTAGCTTTCGCTGATTTGTATAACAACGTTATTGCAATCAAGTGTATGTGCAGTTATAATATTATCATTCTTATCTTATTACCTGCACAAGGCGATCATTACCATAACCATGACGAACGCTATAGTAGCGGAGACACCAATTATTATCCATTTATTCTGCAACTTGTCAATCTGGGATTCACGAGATGGTGGACTGATTCTGTCTTCTTTGAGGTACGCCTGAATGTTGTACACTTCTTTTTTAATCGACGAAGACAATGCCGCCACAGATTCCTTAAGAGCGTCTACTAAGGCATTTTGATTCATAACGTAGCCTTCTCCTTGAACGTTCTGAAGTATCACGTAAAAGGCCACGACAAGATAGGAGCGCTGTTCTTTTGGGAATTGCTTTAGCAACTCAACACTTCCAGTAAGCGTCTCACCACTTACAGACCTGCAGAAAATAATGAAGACGAAATAGCCTTGCTGTATAAGCTAGCCTGTGAATAGAAGATGTCACAAACATTATTACATAATATACCGCTCCTGTTAATGCATGGTGATACATATCCACGGATACCCAAAATTGACCGTTCAAGGTCAGTAAACAACTCCACCGGCATGAATTATCCCACTGACATTCCACAACGCGATCCTATAGCGGCTTTTTTCGGGAATTTTTAATTTTTCTAATTTTTCTAGATAACATAAAAACGTTTCTACCTCACCTTTTGACAACTGCAGTATTATAGCACTCAGCGTTCTTTCCCTGTTCGCAATACGCCACAGCTACTCTGGTGACAGCGTCCTTAAATGACATGGATAGTCCTCTACGCCACTTAAAAGGATAAGAGCATGTGAGTTCGTAGGCTAGCCCTTTTTTTCTTTTTATCTTCCGGGTTTCAACTTTGATAGTACCTTCTTATTCTCGAACGAACAAAGGATGTAGAGGATACCTGGGTGCCACCCCTTGGGCGTCTTTCCTAAATTTTCATTTAGCTTGAAAGCTCTTTGCGTAAACCCGGATTGTCGCCAAACTCAAAGATGCTCCAATTTCGGCACAATTCTATCACATCACAATTTCCATGCAGTGTAATTTCTTAAAATAATAGCATTAATGGCATCTACTATAACTTATCAAAGGCTATCTAATTAAATTTTTAATCCCTGCAAAATGCTATATAAAGCAAAGCAGAAAAACCAAAAGAAACATCCATCTGCCCAGGCATCGTCTTGTAAGTTTAATTTATGTCAATGAGGAGAAGTGTATGTTCCCCTCAGTTCTTGTGTGACAGTAGTATCTAAGGGGCTGAGTCAAGCTCCTTTTTGTGGCAGAAACAGAGATTGAAATGTAGATGACACCAGATTGTTTCATTCCATGAACAAAAGACGTGCCAAGATGAATTCCACTAAACGCTTTTGAGCAGTAACGGAATTACCTGTATGTACGTTTTTTTTCTTGCCACATTCATTGTCCATGGAAGATAAGCATAGTAAGTGTTTATCTCATAAGGTGAATGAGGTTTTTAACGTGCGAAATTTTATGGCCAGTTCTTAAACCAACTACACTAAATTATAGCAATTTTATACAGGATCTTGCAGTACTTCATGAGAGAAAAGATTAAAATCTACCTCTTTTAAGCTGGTATCCTTTAAGGTCATGGTAACTGCATTATTGATGCCGTCTTTAGGAATCAGGTCTGTTTTGACGGAACGGAACGTTGGCGCACTTGTTTGAAACCGTGCTTTTGTTTCCGGGAAGTACTCTAAGGAAAAATAAGCCTCGAGATCTAAACTTATTTGCAAAAATGTAATTGTATTAACAGTAATTCAGACATAATATATAATCCATCGTCTTTCTGGGGCTTGTATTGCAAACGACCGTTTAGATTACGAGCGAGTAATGAAAATAGGCAATGTTTCTACCCGATCAGTCAGTTTGGTCAGTATGGAACAAGTTTAAGAGTTATTTTCGTCTCCAGCCTTCTTTTTGTAAACCAATTCAAAGCGTTTCCCTGAATTGACTTCTGAATACCATTTAACCAAAACAAGCAACTAGGCAGTGCATTTTAAAAATTGGAGGGTGTTTACAAGTAATTATCATCAGTGTCAGCAGCTTCATGATGCTGTCTGTAGAAATTTCTTTTCCAAAAAATTAAATATTTGTTGATATTATAATAATGATTCAAGTTAGCAGTTCTAAGAATGACTTACGTATTACCTTTGCATGTATTATTAACACGCTGAAAGCCTTGTTGACAATCACAGCGAAAAGATCCAATGGTGTTAAAACAGACATCTAATGGTCCTGCACAGTATAGCTCATCGATCAAACCACATTCATCAATATCTGAAACAAACAGAAAACGGTGTTAAAACCTACTAAAAGAGCACAAGTCATAAACTGAACATTAGTATGGAACGACAGGGGGTAGGGGTCCGGAAGACACAGGGGCCGAAAGCTTGGACCCCCTGTCCCCACTTATGCACTTATGTACTGTTGAGTACCCCCTCCCGCACCCCAAACGAAGACTCTTGACAGCATTTCTCTTACGACAAGAAGGTGAACTGAGAAAATAAAAACAGGCGTGTTACGTACTGACAGTTCTTTCCATTAACTCTATAACGGTTTTCATTACCATTGCATGTAACGCCATCTGAGGATAAAGTGAAGCCAGGGCGACAGGAGCACTTGTAACTTCCGTCGCTGTTGTGGCATAGTTGAGAGCACTTGTGTTTATGTGTTGTGCATTCATTGATATCTGTACATAAAAGAAAAATTGCTCACCATCGAAAAAAGAAAAGACTGTCCATATCAAGAGGTGCAACCCAGCATGGAACAATTCAGTAATTTAGGAAATTTTGTCCTAACACGGTGGTTTTTGTCTTTTTTAAACGCATTAAAAGATTGGGGTTTTGGCTTTGTGATACCCGATACCAGTCACGAGGAAGTTAAACACATTAAGTTTTGCATTGGATTTCTTCAAAAATGACATAAAACTCAAACTGTTTAAAGCGCCACGCAGGCATAGAGCATATTTGCTGTATCAATTCATTTTTAACTCTTTGGATATCCATTATAACATTTCTTCTCGTGCTGAGATGAAGGAAGTAGGAATGAAAGAGGAAGTATATTTCACATACACTCAGTTTGTGTTGTAGCATTTTGAGGCTATTTAAGTACATGACCATCTTAACCGTCGTATGCTAAGAATGTATCACATACTATACATATTAAAAACAGCTCCTAGTGAAATTAGGCTCTCTAATTATGTTTTTCCTACCTTGGCAAGTTTTTCCATCATTGTCGAGGTCGTATCCTTTGTGACAAGAACATTTTGGCAGCCCATGAACCATGGCACAAACCTGCTGGCAGCCTGTCGCTGTAGCGTTGCAGCTCAAAATTGCTGAAGAAAAAATAAAGGAATAAGCGAACTTAATACAACTTGTAATAAGGGATTAGCTTTCCCAGAAGAGTATTCGAGGTGCACTGGGGTATCTAACCCTTTTTGGAAGGGGGTCTTTTACTTACGTATGCAAACGGTGTTGTCATTAGGGTCTACTTGGAATCCTTCGAAACATGTACAGTTTCGACCACCAGGGAAGTTTGAACAGTTATGCATGCAATTATTGAAATCCACGCACTCATTAATATCTGAAAAACAAATTATTCAACACAAGTTATTAGTAATTATTACAGCAATTTGGCAAACGTTTGTTTCACGAAACATTTTAGCTGAGAGCTACATCAACATTAACTAATTAGTTTTTTGAAAATCGTGGTCGTATTTTCTCTTTAAAGTTAGGACCATTGGTATGTAAATCACATGATAGCCTGATTGTTGTTGGAAGCATTAACCTGTAACGAATTAATAAGTTGTGGTTCGCTTTTATCATTGATTTAAAATTTATCTTCTTTAGTTAGAGAGGTTGGTGGAAGTAAGACCCTTAACAAATTTAACAAATTTCTGCTAAGTAATGCCACGTGCTACTGGTTTTGGCGCAAACTAATGTTACTTACAAAGATTACTTTAGAATGTGACGGATTGCACAAGATAGAATACTGCAGATAAATTGAGTAAAAAATGGAGTGATTTTTGGTTGTTTTTACCTTTACAGCTGGTGCGATCAATGTCGAGTTGGTAACCATAGTTACAGTCACACAAATAGGATCCCGGAGAGTTTATACATAGTTGGCCACATTTGGACACGTTTGAAGCACACTCGTCGATATCTGTCGAAAACAATACAACATTCATTTAATCGTTTATTCTTGTTTTCATTAGTTGATCCCTCCATGACAACCTTTTCAAATGTTGTTTCGTACCTTCACATATCGCTCCATCCCCACGGTATCCCGCGGGACACGGGTCGCACCTATATCCCGTCTTACCCCCTGAAGATTTAAGATCATAACACTTGACACCGGGAAAACAAGGCTGGTTGTTCTCCACGCATGCGTCAATTTTACTTTCACAAAACTGTCCCGTAAATCCCGAGGGACATCCGCATGACAAGATGATAAATCTAGCACCACTTTCTCGTTGAATCTGAACGACCTCGTCCTCGATACATCTGGATGGATGTTCACAGGGGCACAACACAATCATTGGGCGGAGCTCTGACGAAGACCCATCGCTGCCAGTCACGTCAAACACGGGTTCCACCTAATTCGAAGTAATAGAGGCGAAACTAGATGAGTTATCGGTAGGAATTATAATTATAGTGTTGACGAGCAATATCAGGCATTTTGGATAGCTCTTTAGCCTTCTCGCTCTATAAATGGCCAAAGTAGAATATTCCCAACAATTTAAGATTTAAATAGTGGAGAAAAGAGAATCAACGAACATAGTGAAAAGCCTTGGGAGTAAAGGTAGAAGTTAACTCAGATATTACACAGTTTCTATACTGCTAGCAATATGATGACTTACCGTCTGGGTAGATTTGGGCTGCCAACGAATAACCAGGTACTGTGATGTATTAGCAACAATTTCAACGTTTGGAAAATTCCATACTGTAAACACGAAGTAATCACTTGAGTTATGTTCAGCTGTGATGTTCAATTCAATCGTTTGATTGATGGTAGCGTTGATGACGTTTGGTCCGTGAATTCTTGGGGGGAAAGATGCTGCGAAGAGGACAAGAAGGTAAGATCTAATTCTCAAGAATATGTGTTTAAGAGAACAGAAATATTTCATGAGATGTATGGAAGCGTACATGCAACGTGGTGTTTCATACCTAAATGACAGGGTTCTAACAAAAACAGTTGCCAGAGTATGCCTTGGAACAGACAACTCTATTTGATAACTCTAATCGTTTTGTACTTTTTTATGTCCTTTTATGGTTTTGTTTCCAGAATACGTTTGATTTTATTTTCCGAAAGGAATCGCGAGTCCTTGAAATGTGGCTGGTGCGTCACTTATTCCAAGCTATTTACAGGTTTTTTTTCTTGAGACCCTATTCTCACAACTTATCGTTTTATTTCAAACGATAGTCTTATACCGTTGTTACAGATTGCATCCCTGTACCTAGCTCTCTGTTTACTTGGTTATTAATTTCCTCTTGTCTTCTTGTCGTCCACCCATACGAAGTATCTATGGTCACGGCAGCATCAAACAGACAATTGGTGTTGTTCCCACAGACCCTTTCCGCTTGAAGCCGGAACGAGTCGTTTGTCCAGGTGATGTTATCTATGAACATTGGTACATAGCTCAGGTCTATGAAGGCTGCCGAGCTTTCATTTGCGCCGTAAGTGAACAGTGACTTTGAAGCGTCAATTTGCCCTGGAAATGGGAGGAAGAAAAGAATTACTGTCTGAAAACTGACTGAAAACCGCTCGGCATAGAGTTGGGAGAAAATGGTACCAGGCTGCGTGAGACGTCTCTTCTGTGGCTGTACCTTAAAAAATTCCTCAGTAGAGTATCCAATTTATATATTACTTTGACATTGCTTAAAAATTTACCTCTACAGTTTGACTGTTGAAAAACGTTCACTCATTAGAAACTTATTGCGTATAAAGTACATGTAAAAAAAGTTCTGCTATGACTTTCGTTCAACATTTTTCAGTAACGAACGATAATGCATCGTAAAAAGAAATAGAAAAGAAATGAGCAAAATCCTGATTTCGGATTGCTCGTTTCAACATTATTGCTTAAGTCCTTATTGGAATTCGTTTAATAAACTTTTAAGTTTCTATTACTTACATTTCAAGCCAAATTTATAATGTATCTCCTGAGGAGAAGCCTCAGCTGGGAGCATTTTCCCATCCGGGGTAACAAAATCATCGGAAGGATTGTCATTCCATGTTCCCAAAAGACCCCTGGTGCGGTTTTTAAACTCAACTGGGGCATCAATTGAAATGGACAGGGCTCTCTCGACGTTAGCGAAAATGAAAGAGATCCCGGATGGGAAGAGGGCAGTGACTGAGCCGTCAGAATCTCTAATCAGCGTGATGTTTGCTTCTGGAAGGTGTGCGCCAAATTGCGCAATAGAGGAGATGTCATACTGTCTTCCCGCTACGAGCACTTCAAGACCACCTTTGTAAAAATAAGAAGTAAATTAAAATCAGAATATTGACACCAAAGCTGTTTTGGAAACTGATAAGGGAAATACAGTTCCTTAAACGAGATGACAGTCTGCGTAAAATAGATTGTGATCGGCAACTTCTTTAATACGACTAACGAAATGAATGTCATAATAAGTACAAAACGTTCTAAGGGTTTTGTTTTAAGAAACAGAAATGTTCGCCCTCCTTGGCTTCTCTCTAGAGGCTCTAAAACAATGAGGAAATCCCAAGGGATGCTTTGAACCTATCGTGTATGATTCATAAATTTTATCAACACACAACTGGTTTAAACTCTTTCCTGAAAGAATTGTCAGTATAGATTCAGCTAATCGGCCTCTGTAAATTGTCTCAAAATTTTGTTGCACCGTTTCAAAACATTTATTAACTGAAAAGCTGGTTTAGAGAAACGTTGGTTAGAGTTAAGAATGGTCTCAATTCGTTTGTAGCTTTAGGTGAGTATTTTGTCTTTCATCTTCTAGCTACTACTAATTGAAATTACCCTTATTGTCTATTCGTCCTTCCACAATAGCAGTGTTTTCTTCTTTCGCAGCCGCTGCTGAAAACACCGTTCCCAGGCCTCTACCCGTGGTCCTTCTTGTGCGCGCCTGCATCTCAAACACGCCGTTGTCAATAACAGTCATTGTGTATTCCCCAAGGCCGTTAAAGGTGTATGTAGTGTTATCAAGTGTTGTGAAATGTGGATCTCCCCATATAGAACCTAAACAAAAACAAAAAGGATTAACACAGGAGCAAGGAGTTAGGGGTCCTTTGCGGGAGATTCTGATTTCTATTCCCACTTTTAAACTCAACTAAGAATCGACTTCTTTACTGTTCGTGTAGCTTTAAGTAGCTTTAAGAACGAATTAAGAGGTCTTATGATTTGAATGGGTAATACGATGGAAGTGGATTCAATTCTAAGCTTAAATTTTAATTTATGTTAGACCAAAACTAAATCATTCACCTCTGCGTCTTAATGTGTAATCTAAGCAGTTTCGAGATGGACGTAGCTGATGGTAGAAAGAACAAAGACTCGATGTATTGCAACATGCATCACGGCCCTCGAAATCAGATAAACCAGGGGCCCCAGTGAAGGGGATTAACAACGGGCTACCCCCTTCTGGTGGTCCCAGCGAGAGTACTTTTCCACCCCCTGAAATGTCCGTGTAACAACACTGCTGCGACCATCGGCTTGTTACAGCAGGTATGGAGTATGCGCATATAGTTCCATTATTTCTTGTAGCGAGAGTTCCGTTGTAATCTACGAAGAAACGTTTATCCAAGGTAGCCTGGTTGAACTGACAGGGGCAAGCAGGTAAGGTCAACGGTCTTTGGACGTTGAACTGCTGCCTTATCCATTCGGCGCATGTTCTGCTTGACAAGTCCTGAAAAGGCGAGTTTTCATCAAGCCTGTAAAACCACCTTCCAAGACGATTTGTTGCTGTTCCAGGAAGGGCATCTAATGTGTCCACATCAACAGTTCCCGACCTGTTGCGGGCGAAAAATCACAGCTCATGTAGATCACAGAAGTGTTATTAACACTTGCCCTTAAAACAGTTTCGCCATGGAAAAGGGCAAAGTGTTAAAGCACCAGAGAAAAGATTTTATTGAAGGAAATGCCAGGTATGTGGTACAGTTTATTATGTTACACAATGTAGTTCTAACTTCTGAATTTATAAATAAAATCCAAAAAGTGTGGAAGTTTCTAAGTGAATACTTCTGAGCACTTAAACAACGTTGTGCACCGTCCATCTACCTTTCAATAAATTTTAATAAATTTTAAAAGACAAATTTCATTGGGTAAAATACAGAGAAACGGACGCTATTCGGTAGAACTAACAAACGAGGAGCTTTCATTGTAATGCATTAACCGAAGGAATTTATCCACAATCCTAAATTGCATGCGATATTTCAAAGATAGTGGAAGTTATTGTACGACATCGAGCTTTGGTAATTTTTATCTATTATCATCAGTAGTAGTATCATCTTTATTATTATTATTATCATTAGAATTATCATTATCATTGTCATTATTATTATTATTATTGTTCAAATCTTTTTCTGTTTCTGATTGGCTTAAATCCTTTCGCTAATTCTTCATAACCAGCTTGCGCTTGCGTTGATCAAATTTGAAAGACGTTTGTCGATATCAATACAATATTCCACTTCCGAGTTACACAAACTCCCTCTCTCGCAAGTGAAAACGAGTTTTATTTGCATGATAATTAAAAATTATTTTTATATCAATAGCTTCCCACTTAGCCTCGCTTTGAAAAAGAGGCGTAGGGCAGCCAGAAAGTGGCCAATATAGTACTCATAATCGACGGAAAAAGCCAAAGCAGTAGGCTTGGTAACTCAGATGAAGGAAATGATCCGAGGATTAATTTCATTTATTTTGCCTAGATCGAGATACGAGAGATACGAGTGTTTTTATATTACGTTGGAAATATTTCGTATGAATAATTAAATTAAAAATATTGTTATTATTATCATTGTAATTATTATCATTACCATCATCATCATCTGGAGATTTCGTGGGAAAACAATTTATTCAGTTTCATTGGATTCAGCTGTAGTAATAGCATGACATATAAAGGAATAACAAAAATTACCTGGGTAAATTGACGTAACGCAGGGATGGACTATTAAATCCGACACCTGCATTATATCCGGCAACGGGAAGTCCAGCTGCATTTTGCCAGACTGGACGGAATAGCCTGAAGAAAAATAAGTCAAATACCAGTAAGCATTGTAGCAGATTGTACTGGAACTCTTTGCCATGCAGATCAATTAGTGGTGTAAAATGTTTCTCTCTGCATTCTGGCTCTGTTTCACTCTTTCCAGAAATGAGAGTGTTCTAAACAAGCTATGTCAGGCTATAAATTGCCATATTTTTAGAAAGCTAAAACTCTTCCTTGAATCAACTGAATTCCAAAATAATGGTCCAGTTTTGTTATTTTTGTGGAAACCGTTTTCTGTCGTCTGTTGCAACAGATAGCAAAGATAATAATCATCTTTATTGAGGAAACTTTTTCATAAAAGATATGGTTTTCAAAAAGGACCTCAAAACTAGATATATATTATAAAAACAAAAAAAGCTATAAAATTGGAAAGGGATTAAAGAGATACAAAAAATGCATAAAAAATTAAAAATAAGTATAAGTAAAAATTAAACGTAAGTAGCTATATCAAAAACTTAAAAACATTACGTTTAAAACTATTTACATTCCTTGAGTCTTTGATCGTCTGACTGAGGGAGTTAAAATCGGAAACGGCATGATATTGTGTTCTTTGCTTCCCCCAATTTCTTTTGACACGTGGTAATCTAAAATTGCCTTTGTTACGTGTATTATGCCTATGAAGTACGTCTTGTCTAATCAAGTCCATATCGTGATTAATTAGGTCATTGATGCATTTGTATACGTGTATACACCTTCTTTGAAATCGCCTTTTCTCTAGAGGGAGCCACTTGAGAACGGCTAATGCCTCAGAGGAGGATGAGTACAATGGTCTATTTAAAATAACTTTAGCGGCCTTATTTTGCAAAACTTGCAAACTAGACAAAGATGGAAATGGAGTGAAATTTGATAACGTTGGGCCAATGGAACCTTTTCAAATTTTAATGCTAAGCCAGCAAAAATCGCCCAAAATTATTTTAGTTAGTGTTCCATGATGAAACTTGTTTGATATCCTTTTCATAACTCCTTGTGTATTAGTAAAGGTACAAATTAATCACTTAAGCTCAGAATGGGCCTAAAACAGCAATATCCTTGTGACATAGCCCCTTTAACCGTCCCCTAAAATCGTAACGGCGCGCGTAGTTATCCCTCATGACTCAGGCCCAGGTCTAGCTCATGACCTTCTGCTTAGGGTTCCTGAGTTAAATAGAAAAAACGTTTGTCTAAATAAAAAAAAAATTGACAGCAAGAAAACGTTGCCTTACCCTGGTGTAGGCGTTGACCATTTGATTCCGTTTTCAGGATAATTGAACAACGTGAAAGTATGATAACCATCTGATATAAGAACAGCCTGAAATGTGTTTGCCTAAGAAATAACATTTCATAAAGTTAATATCTAATGCCGTAAACGGTTACAGTAAACGAGACACGAACTCAAAATCAGCTATCAACAGCGTAATTGCTAAAATGGCCCACCGATGGAAAGAACAGGCACTTAGACTACCGTCACGTCAGTCATGCTGATTTACAACAATGTTCAAACGAGACTGCCGGTGGTAATTCTCGAAATCCCATTTCGTAATCAGTCAACGTCGTGAAGGAGTGGCATGAGAGTGAGTGTAGCGCATGCGTCAAATCAGTCATGTAGTTCTAGCGTTGAAAGTAAGTACAGTGCAAGCTCTCCTAATCGACACTCTCGTAAGCGGACAGCTCTTATTACGGCCACCCTCAGAAAATCCCGTTTTTCTCAACTCCTATACAAACTCTGCATTCTTACATTCTTGTAAGCGACCAGTTACAGTTACCAAAATCTTATCCGTATCCAGAGCGTATCCACTTACAAGATCTTCTATTGTCAATTTAATTTTCAATCATCTCCTGCTGTTCAAATGGCGGCCAAGAAAGAAATTAGACGTGAGGGATTGGGACAAGACTATTTGTGTCAACTCAGTTCCCTGAGTCTTAGAAATATCAAAAAGTGTCAAATGTTTTCAAAAAACACAAACGTTTCCGGTTTATGACCCCTCTTCAGTGTGAGAAAAACCGTTGTACAGTACTAGGCAATATCATAGACATCATAAAAATGATCGGAGCATGTAAACGTGTAATAGTGCGCGAAGGATGTATATAATGTCTACTGAAGTACAAGTGTCACGCATCCCTGACGGTTTTTCCGTTTAACATTCATTTATAAACTAGTTACAAACGGATATCTAGAAAGTGGGACTCCGACCAATCTAGCTTCAAGTATGTAGAAAAAATAAATAACTTTGATGGCGATCTGTTGTAGGGTAGCTCTTTGGCTAACCGTGACATATAACGAAGAAAAAACTAAAATAAAATTTGGTCTAAGCTTGAACAATCCTGAAGTCCACAGGTTGCTTAAAAAAAGCTTACCGTTTGTGCGAAAGGAAATAAACTAGGGTAAATATTGACCCAGGTCACCACCAGTATCCAGCTCGCTTCAAATAGAGGAATTTTGGGATTTGCTTGATACCGCTGCACATCTCTATTTGCTCTTTTGAAGACTTCCCTGTCATTGTTGGAATTCATGGAGTACTTGTTGTACACTTGATAAAAGACCTTAGAGGATCCTGGTTGATTTCCGAAAGCTGCGTGACTAATGACAGTCCAGTACGGTGCCAAGATGAAAGAGCTTCGGAATCTTTGAATTCCATCTTCGTTTCTTCGACCAGGAAAACGTTCAGGCCACTGAATGACCCTTGAACTAATAAATTTTAACATACCATTTCGACATACCTTAAAAACGAAATGGTAGTCATGAAGTTAAAAAAGCAATACTTAAAAAAATAAATTCAAAATTCAAATGGTCTGATGAATTTTTATTCTCAGGATGCAGTTTGTCCACGGTATAGGTATATACAACAGTTAAGCTTTTGACACTGGAGGCAGCGTCGTCGGGTGCTTTAGGAAGCTGGTTTCAACGCTGTCGCCCGGGCTGAAATCAACGCTGCGACCATTATCTAGGAGGAGGGAAGGTACTGCCCGTACGGGGAGGCTCGGCCCAAAAAGGGTAACTTTTTTTCAGGCAAAAAGGGTAACTTTTTTCAGGCATCAGGTATATGAAAGGGTGGGAAATCTGTCACTCGGAGGTCCAAAGCTAGGAGAGCATTTTTATTTAGGGGCAGTGAAAAAAAGGGATGGGAGCAGTAAAGGGATGGGAAGTTCTAAACTAGGTAAATGAAGGGGGTACTGTTTGTCAGTAAAAGGTATACGAAAGGGGTAACTTTGATGTTAAAAATGGTAAGGGGCTGAAGGATTGTCCAATACTCCGTCAAATTTATGCATGGCATTGGATTGTGTTGTCTACACTTTACAATGCTGTCAAAAAGCATAACAATAAAGAACGAGGCAAAACAATGACGTCAATTGTACCGATATCTACAAATATCTTCTAAATTTGGTCAACGGTAGCGGGTTATGAAGAATTAGCCAGGTGATTTGAGCCAATCAGAAACGGATAAAGGTTTTTCATTTCACATGACTAGCAATTGATAACAATACTATAACGACTAAAAAAATGGCAGTACTTACATAAATTCTTCGGTGTCTTCTTAAGACGAAATGGATTCCCTGGCCATCGATGTTTATCCTGAAACAGAAACTTCTCAAGGCCGGGGAGTTGGGAAGTCTGGCATCATTAAATTGCACGCCATAAGGATACAGCCGAGCTACAGATAGAAAGAAATAAATAATGGAATTTATTTATGGAATTTTAAATAAATAATGGAATTTATATAGCGCTTATACATCGCTGTTCTAAGCGCTTAAAGAAATAACATCACTGAGAACACTATACCGAGAACTTATAGATAATCATTAGTAGTAACGATTATAACGATGCAAGATGACTAGAATTGCCTTAAACTGTTACATTTTGTATCCCGTTGACGGGGAGGAAAGAACCGCGCACCAAGATATACCCATGGTGTCTGCGCTCTGGTCACGTTCTCTTATCCTAGTGATTTATTGATGCGGGCCACACCCATCTGTATTTTGGGGCCGCTGAAATACTCCTTTAAAACAGGTGTGGACGAAGTTTTGTATTAAATCAGAGTTGCGTGCAGGGTTAAGGTGTAATATGTGTGCACGCCTCAAGCATATTTTAGCATCAAACCACAGCACTACATGTGAGGTCAATTAGTTCGATCTGATTGGTATGTAACTGTAATTTTATCCTGACGATCCCTTGGAGCCTTGATATGGCCATAAATCTAGGTATTTATGGTGTTTAAATTCACCGCAAACTTTGTGCCTCTCACCCTTTCCTATCATGGTAACCCATGGTTAAACATGTTTCTTTGACCAAGGTCATACATGGTTGTCTACGTTATTCCGTGTCTAGCTTTTACTTTGAAAATGGCTGACCATGTTATATAATGTTATCTTTTCCACCTTAAACATGGTATATCGTTGTTTGCTTTAGCTTCCCTTTCAATATTAGACCACAATTGACCGTGGTAAACATTGGCATTGGAACCATGATCATACATAGTTCGTCATGTCCCTGACCGTGGTCCGCCATAGTCAAATTTGCGTCATTTAAAGTTCGTGGTTGACCATGGCCAAACCAAGGTTATATCATTGCTTTACCATGTTAAACTATGGTGGGTGACCATGATCATCCATGGTAAAACCATAGTTGATTATGGTGTGACTGTTGTAGGAGTAGGAAGTGCTTATAGAGACAGATGTAATTATAAATTGTATTACTCTGTCCGTGTATAAAACAAGTATTGTCATCAAGCTTACGGGTACAAGCTTCGATAATGCATAGCTGTGTCTCATTTCTTGGTCCTTCGCAGTCGCGGCCGCCATTTAATGGTGCGGGATTGATACAGGACCGGTAGCGAGTTTGCGTTCCATTGTCACATGTTGCGCTGCATTGCCCCCATGGAGTCCACTCTGTGTAGTTACCATCAACTGAAATAAATTGAAAGATTATTTATGATAATTATGCTTTGCGTCTGAGTTTCATTAATAATATACAAGTGGAAGAAGCAAAAGCAAATGTAGATGTAGTAGTAGTAGTAGTAGTAGTAGTAGCAGTAGTAGTAGTAGTAGTAGTAGTAGTAGTAGTAGTAGTAGTAGTAGTAGTAGTAGTAGTCGGTGTCGTGGTTGTAGGAGTAGTGGTCGTTGTTGTCGTGGTTGTAGTCGTAGTAGTAGTGGTCGGTGTCGTGGTTGTAGGAGTAGTAATGGTAGTGGTAGTAGTAATGGTAGTGGTAGTTGTAATGGTAGTGGTAGTTGTAATGGTAGTGGTAGTTGTAGTGGTAGTGATAGTGGTAGTCGTAGTCGTAGTGGTAATGGTAGTGGTAGTGGTAGTGGTAATGGTAGCGGTACTGGTAGTTGTAGTGGTAGTGGTACTGGTAGTGTTAATGTCAGTGGTAATAGTAGTGGCAGTGGTAGTGGTAGTGGTAGTGGTAGTGGTAGTAGTAGTAGTAGTAGTAGTAGTAGTGGTAGTAGCAGCAGTAGTTGTAGTAATGGTAATGCTAACTGTAATGGTAATTGTAGTGGTAGTGGTAGTGGTATTCCCAGGTCCCACGCAGTCTCTGCCACCGAATGCTGGTGGGGGATTTGTGCGGTTCCGAAGACGTACCCGAGAACCATTTTGACATGACTGACTGCATGGCGACAACTGACCCCACTCTGTAAAAAAGCGTAAAGTTTCGATCTACCAGATCATGAAAGGAATGATGAGAATAAAAAGACAAAAAAGTAAGCAAAGAGGTTTTGATCGCACTGAAACGAGTTAACTCATAAATCAAGATACGTTTAATAGATGTTGCAGTTGACCTTTTGCTGGTGAAGTTTCTGTGAGGAGACTCAAACCAATTGGTCAAAACAGGAATTCGTCCCAATACTAGAAGATAGAAGTTCAGTTCATTCCAGTTTGCGTTTTCTCGAAAGTTTGTCGCCTAGACCAAAATGACTTTTTTTCAGGATTTTGAAGAAAGAAATTCTAGGTGCCGGTGTGCTTCCCGGTTCTGATTACTTTTCGCTTCGCATAATCACATACATAATCAAGAACTATGAAGCACTGATCTTTTACAACGGAACCTGGATATACACTGAAACGTGGGACCATGGGACTGGCAAAATATGATCGCTTTAACGGAGTTTCATTATATGGAGGTTCTTTTCGATTTATCTGTTACTGTTAGTGCAATATTTAACAATTATTCCTCGAGCCCGAATGGGCTATTGACTCAGAGGCCATGAGGGCGAGAGGAATAATTGTTTTAGCAAAATCCAACTAGTTCGTCAAAAATATCGAGAATAAAAAAATTCTAGCTAGTTAAAGCTAGACTTTAATCGTTTTTTGCCGCCAAAAGGCCCGCGCTTTCGCTACTAGTGGGCTATGACATATAGCCTTGTATTAGCTAAACCAATCAGAACACTGCTTTGATAATATACCACTAGTTGGATTTTACTAAATAGGGATATCGTTCGCTGTACAAAGGACTTCGTTTCAGTAAAGGGGTTTGTTTATTGTAGCTTGCGTCGCAGATAGCCTACATCTCTGATATCTGGTTCTCTTTACACTGTAGGTCTGGAGTGATAAGTCAGGTTGAAAATGGATTTTCCACTGCTCTGAATTTTCAAGAAATATGTCAAGAATGATGGCGAGGGCTTCATTACGGGTTCCAAATACCGAGTTTTTGACATGTCTTCTCGACTGAAACTTTAAGAAATTAGGCAGTGACATGTTTCTTCTCTGGTATTGCAACAAATATCTAACTCATAAGAAATGCAAGTGTTTGATCTCAGATAAAAAACCTGTTTGATCTCAGATAAAAACCTGGTGGTGTTTTATCTGGCGTTTTATTAGGAATCAAGATTCATCCACATGACCCAAATTGTCGTAAATTATTGGCTTTTGTCAGATTGCATTCATGAATAATTAATGACTTTTAGAACATCTGAAGAACAATCTGGTGAGGTTTTGCAAAGTTTTTACTCTCGCTATAGTGAACAGATTTGAATTAGGATAATCGCAGACAATGCGTTAATCATATTTAACGGAATAACTGGTTCTACCTGGGCATGAGCTTCCGTTACATAGTCTTTCTTCGACCCGAACTCCCTCGCAGTCTGAACCATTGTTTATTGGAGGAGGATTGGTACAGGTACGAGTTCTATTTTGGGTACCAGTCCCACAGGAGGAGCTGCACGGTCCCCAGTCACTCCACTCGGAAAAGTTTCCAGCAACTGGTAAAATAACAGCAATGGATAGGTGATAAATAAAGTCAAAACTAGGAGATGGTGAAGTCTTTTATAAAAAACAAAAAAACGGGAGAGGCGTGGAGAGAAGTGCAATCAAACCAAAAACTTTGTGGAGCTGTGTATATTTGTCTTTTTCAGGGAGATCGATCATACAATTAAATCTCGTCACGTAAAGTTGTTATTATCTCGGGTGATAAATACCTTTTTCGAGGACTAAATTTACCGTTCAGGTAATCGTTAGAAACCTTGACTACGTATTTAAACTTCAGAAATAACCGAAAAAACTTAGCGTGTATCTAGTATCTCTTGTTACCATTGCAATCTGTTTAAAATTTAATTTCAAACGCAAACTCTGTTTTTCTTCCCTCAAAAAAGGAAATGCATGACTGCGAACTAGTTTTCAACAAGCTAAAACGGGTGTTTCATTGTAAAAAAGAACAATTCCATGCCTATCATACTACTTACAATTACAAACCTGTTATTTGTATACCAAGGGTATCACTAGCGTTTTGTAAGGAGGACTGCAAGATTACCGTCACAATTTCTCTATCGAGCGTCTGATAAGCATTCATGCCAGTTTTGAGTCGAACGTAGAATCTGACCTCTACGGGATTGAACTGGATTGGGAAACCTGGAACTATGTTTATGAGAACCTCATCTGCAAGAAGGGCTGATCTGGAAACAAATATTTTTTAAGGATAGATGTAAATGTCCATATAAACGTGTTCAGTGGACCTTTCTTAAATCTGCTGTGTTACTTGAATAAACAGACGAAGACATTCTTAACGTTTGTTTCCCTCAAGTCAAGAATGGAAGAAAGGGCTGGTGAAGAGGGCCAAATCTGTTTTTATGATGGAAGTGTTAAGCGCAACCACACACAATTCACTTGCAAGCTAGCTATTCGAAAAAAAAGATGTCACGCGAGTTTTATTTGTATTTGAATTTGTATTTGTATTTGTTTATTTGCCACACGATTACAATAATTACAAAGAAATGCCAAAAAAAAATGTGGGAAGAAATGGCGAGGAGGGCAAAAGGAAACTATAGAGCTTATGTTAATTAGGCCTCCTCAATTACAATTTTTCGAAGATGGCATAAAACTTACGGCGACAGATACAAAATAATATCAGGTGGAAAATTAAACTAATCAATACTACGGAAGTTTACAAATAATGTTAAATATTAAAAGGCTTTTTCGCAAGATTTCTGTTGGAGTATACTAATAATTATTAGAAATAAATGCCTTAAGTGCTGTTTTAAAGGAAAAAGGTGAGGAAGCGTTGATGACGTTGGTGTTTAAGGTGTTGTAAAATTTAGGTCCTTGATAAAAAACGGAAAATTGTTTGGTTCGAGTACGACAGAAAGGCGGACGAAATTTACACGAGTTTCCTGTATTATACGAATGAATTTGACTTTAAATGAAATGAAATTTTAAAGGCAGAGTATGGTTTTGATAGGAGTACATGAATAAGCCTAGTTGTTTTAAGTATATATCTTGAAATTTTAAGATACCAAGATTTTGAAAGATTGGATCAGTATGTGCATCGAAAGTGGTTTTAGCTATGGTTCTGATCACCCGTTTCTGTAAAATCTCAAGACGAATAAGGTTAGTTCTGTAAGTGGAGGCCCAAACTAAGTTGCAGTAAAAAACGTATGGATAGACTAGAGAAAAATATAGTGTTCGTAAGGTTTTCGTAGATAAATAGAAACTGGATTTACGAATAATTCCTGTACATTTAGAAACTTTATTGGCGACATGTGAGATTTCAGTTTTCCAATTTAAATTTTCATCCATGATTACTCCCAAGAAAACTGTTTCTTTTTTCTTGATCAATTTTTTGGCTATTAATTAAAAGTTGAATAGTTTGATTTGTACGCTTTTGGCATGGTTTAAATACAATGAATTTGTTTTTTTTTTCAAGTTTAATGAAAGCCTATTAGCTGTAAACCATAATGACAACTTATTTAGCTCAGCGTTCAGTATATTAGTCAGGCAGTCTTTATCCTTGTGAGACACAAAAACGTTTGTATCATCGGCAAATAATATCAGTTGTAATATTGTTGACGTGTTGATTATATCGTTGATGTAGAGCATTATGGTCAGTTTTGTTATAATTTTGCAACTCTACTCTCTCAAGGATGGAGCAAGGATGTCGCAGTGGTGAGAGCCTACCCTCTCCCCTTCTTCCAATGTGGTCCGGGCTCAAGCCCCCGCGACGACGCCATATTCAGGTTGAGTTTGTTGTTGGTTCTCTCCTTTGCCTTGAGAGGTTTTTCCCCGGGTACTCCGGTTTTCTTCTCTCCTCAAAAATCAATATTTCTAAATTCTAATTTTACCAAAAATGGAAGACAAATAACCCCTATGTGGATATGCCACCTCTTAAAAATAGTTATTTTATTAATACCATTTATTTATTCATGAAAATGATTATAGTGATGATTACAGTTGATTCAATAATAATTCTTATATAATTCTTCATGTGAAAACAATGATGAAAACTAAAATCAAGTTGTTCTGTTGATAATGATTTGTTTTTAATTTCCTGCTTCGTGTACTTACATGTTCCCACACTGTGAGGCACTTCTGCTGCAAACGTCAATGACAAAGGGAACAAGTTCCTGTTTAAATGCGCCCTCTCTTACACACCACTGAAATTGGAAGACAATTTTTACAGTCAGTACTGATCAAGATCCAGTCTTTCAAAGATTTGGAAAATGACATATACATCTCAAAAATTTCTAAGATAGCAACAGTTCCGTCAGAAATCGCCTGCTATTAAAAAGCGGGCCATTGTTCACGGAGAAGACTAAAGGCTGAATAATTTCAAAGAAGGTACAGGTAATCTTAGCTAATTATCCTAGTTTATTGAACGGAGTTCTTACTGTGTGAGCAAAAGACTTGAACTCCGAGTAACTAGGGAAAATTGCCTCAGAGGAAGCTTTAAAAATAGGTAACAGGTAAACAAAACATATTTTACGTCGTTAACTCGCAACAGGAATTTAACTGATGAACGTGACGTCGATGGTCGCTGAATTTACTCCCCTCTCTCCATCGATGCTCCGTTTTGTAAAAAAAGATGTGATCTGCCTCGCGCAACAAAGCCCATCCTTGCTCCTAAGCTACAGTGAGAAGCTAAATGGTCAGAAGAGACGAGAGAACACCTCCATCTATTTTCCTTTTTGCAACCTTATTTTTTATGGCTTAGCAGGATATTCGTTCACCACAGGAAAAATCCATTTCCTTTAACCTCAATGCCAACTGATATTTCTCTTAGGAGTACATCTAATTCACCACGAATAAAGGATTAAAAAGATTCCCACCTGTTGCAAATTTATATTACGAATGATAATAGAAATCGCGTCGTTAACTTCCTCTTGTGAAACAGGTCTTCGAGTTGGAAAAACACAAGGTTGGGAGGTGGTTGGTATTCCTGTTGTTGGTGGTCCTGTGGTTGGAGGACCTGTAGCAGGTGGTCCTGTTGTTGGAGAATCTGTGGTCGGTGGTCCTGTGGTTGGTACTCCTATTGAGGATGCATTTGTTGTTGGTACGGCAGCTTAAAGGAAAATATGTCAATAAATGTACCACTTCGTTTTATAACTTACGTCAAAATACTTTTATTTGGCAATAGTGTTTAATTTTTACCCGATTTCTGTCTTTTAGTTGTGATCTAGGAGAAAGTTTCAATTCTGAGAGCACGCAACACAAATCCGCCAAGTTTGTACTTGGGCCATCCTGTTTTAGTGATCGAACACAGATGCAACGTGACGTCCGTTTCTTAATAATATTATCTAACTGAGTTCTTTCTTATTTTTGTGAGGAGTGATGGCAGACTAGCTAAGGCAGTTTATTGAACTTTTCTTATAAACAAAACATTGACTGGATTTTAGCATTTACAACTGTAGCTTAAACAGCCCCAATAAGTAACTCAAATCTATTACTAGGAAAAGAGTGAGTATGAGTTGGTGTGTTGAAGGCAAAGGCATGTTTAGAGGTAAGCCCCAATGTTCAGCCAGAAATTTCTTTGTGAAAAATTGTAATTAAGAAACAAAGGGAATGCTAAATCAATACCAAATTAACCACTGACCCACAGTAACGTAGGATCTCCGCGGTATGTCCAGTACCTTACGCGTGCAGTTAAAACCTCATCAAATGCCTCCGTGATCCCAGAGTCAGTCATTTGTTATTAACCACGTTTACATAGTTAACGTTCAACTTTTCATTTCCCCTTCTACTCGATTATGTAGTCATCCTATTCGTTTGATTCGCCACCACAAAATTTCACAAACCAACACAAATTATATGCTTAAAATTGATAAATGAAAAGTAATTACTTGGGCAAGGAAAATCATTGCAGGGCTGTGTTTGGAACTTAGGTCCCATGCAGTCTGAGCCATTGTTGATTGGAGGGGGACTGGTACAGGTACGGGTTCTAACTTGCGTACCAGGCCCACACGAGGAGCTACATTGTCCCCAGACTCCCCACTCTGTAAAGTTGCCATCAACTGTTAAGTAAAGAGAGGATGGAATATTCAATTAAAATTTAATTTGGTTCGGAACTCACACTTTTTGCATCATTTTTTGTAGCCCTGACAGGTGTGGTTTATAACAAAAGTTACAATGTTTTGTCAGAAATGTGCGATCAATTTGTATCACTCTCATGAAACTCGGCGCATGAGACGCTGCAAGGAATGCAGCGAATTGTCGCCCTTGGACATGAGGACACGAGATCCGCTGAATTTGTAGAACCTGTTAGTTGCGGACACTCATCAATATGGATAAATATCTCTACATAGACTGTTTTACAGGTTTAAAGATACCAAACTTAATGTTACATGTGGCAATGTTTTCGCAAAATGTGCCACTTGGTTCATAACACGGACACCATTTTAATGTGTATGAAGAAGTTTGTACTTTTAACGTCCTTATATATGGAAGTATGACTTAATGCGCTATGCAAATTTCATATGTAAAACATGTGATGTGATATTTTTCTGCTGATATCAACACTGTCTACTGCATACTAGCCTGTTGCGGGCTCTTGCCTTCAGGGTGGATTTACAATGTCGCGTAATTTTTATGTGCCCACATGTGTAAAAATTACTTCCGCAAATAAAATAGAGGCAATGAATGAAATGTGGCATTAGTTAGCGTAAAAGTTGAATCTCGATCGACTTGCGTGCGCGTACACGTACGTAAAATTTACGCCACAATGGAATTCCACACTAAGACACGACGGCAACGGTAGCGAAAACGTCACTTTAAGAGAATTCGCCATGTTTCAAATGTTGGGAAGTTTTCTAGAGTTAATTCTAATTCTAATTATAAATCTATCTAAGGTCAGAAAAAGAAAAAGAAAATTGTCTTGTGTTCACATCCTCCATAAAACATAAAACTAAGAAGTCTCACGAAGTAGTCGTGCAATGAAGGCAAAGAAATGTACAAAAAAAGCGTGCTGCACGTGCAGAGTTGTTGTTTTACTCAACCTATTGCTTACTTGCCGTTCTCGTTGCCGTTGTCGTTGCTTAAGCTCCCTCATAACGTGCAGAGATGATGAAAACTGATGCGAGAAACGCGAGGGGGCTGCGGAGAGAGGCGCCACCTCCGCTTCACGAAAATGAAAAGATACTTAATTAGTCAATAGTCAAAAATGAAAAGATAGTTACGTTTTTGGCCATGCTTCCGCTTTCTGGTACATGAAATCCCGCCAAATAAACAAAAAACACCTTAGAAGTTTGACCGCGGTGGGCACCGCCCCCTTCCCCAGATCACGCGCGTCTTAATTTCGAGACGTCCCTACTGTCTGACAACCTGGCACTGGCTTGGTTACCTTGCGTACCTGAAATCTGCACTCCAAAGGTATTTGTTATATTTTGCACAAGAGGTTGCAAAAAATTTGTTAAGAGCCCCCTCTCTAGTGAAACAGATGTATCGCCTGCAGCTGGCAGACGAACATAAACCTTTATCCGTATGGGACTCATTGCCATTGGATAACCAGGTTGTAAGAAAACCTCAGATGCATTCAAAACTTGTCTAAAAGTAATAACAATAATAACAGAATGAATAATAGAGTAAGAACAGGTTCAATGCAATTTTTTGTATTTTTATAATACTGACGTCAGCATAAAAATTTGAATTCTTTAGTGGTTCAGTGTTTTTATAGCGCTATTGGCATAAAATAAGAATTATTCAGTGTTTTTGCGGTTTTAAGTTTTTTTTACGGGTTTACTTCAAGGGCCTGGCTGTTATTCCTAATTTACCACAATCATGGGTCAATGTTTTACTCTTTGATGAGTTTTGTCTGACAAAAATATACAAGTACTTTGCTATCGTGTAGTAATTTGTTTTGTTCAATAGATAAAAAAGGAAATTATTTTACTGACAGTGGAAGTCCCATGTACACTACAGAAAAACCGCGACCAATTTTTTTTAATCGTTTACTCGGGTAACAATCAGGTTAGGCTCATGATTGAAAAGTGCAATAGTACGCACGCACGAAACCACCGAAAAGCACGGCAGGCTCACATGAAGAAGATGGTACTGAATGAAGATGCGTTTACAAGGCGCTTTCGGGCAGCAAAAGGGGTCCAGACTCGTTTTTTTCGGTTTTGGGGCCATAGTCAACCAGAAAAAGGCAAGTCCGGATCCATTTCATGAAAGCATGGTACGGAAGGTTTACACGGCAAAAATATCTGGTCCGTACCAACTTTTTTTATGGGTTCTTTTTTTATTGGGTCCTTTTTTCTTTAGTGTAAATGGGGCTGAAGGTGCCATAAGAACATATTACACGACATTCAAGCGTAATAGACCCTTCCGCGGATTTTTCTTCAACTTTTCACATGGATAAGTTAGGGAAAATCATTGGACTCCACTGGAAAGCGCTTCTTTAAATTAGTAAAATTTGCCAAGTTTGAAAGTGATTTGTTGAAGACTAACAAAGATACAGCTACTCAAAGTGGCCAAAATTTAAGGACGTTTGTATGGTTGGGACTTGTCCTTCACCATACAAACGTTTGCAAAATTTCCAACTTTGCGGAGCGTATCACTTTCAAACTTGGCAAGTTAACTAATTTTAAGGCGCTCTTCCAGTCTATGTGCCTTTATTCACAAGGCGGCCATATTGTCCCGAGAGATTGAAAAAACCTTTGTTTTACCACCCTCGACTTCGCAGTGAAAAACTTGGGCGCGAGGCTAGACAGGTAAAACAAAGCTACTTTTAGTCTCCCGGGACAAAATGGTTCATTACACATAAAATGCAATGCCGATTATAAGTTACTTGAAACTTACGGAACCCCGCAAGCTCCGCTTCTTCTACGGCAGTAATCATCTACAAATGCAGAAAAAGATTTCTTAAACTGATCTTCGTTTTGGCACCACTAAAAAATATAATACAAAGAACAACGCTGTGAAGTTAGTTTGGCATTGAAGGGAAAGGCAAAGAGAGGGGAAAACACGACATTTGCGATTACACGGTAATAATTGTAAATGTTGCTTTTTAACAGGGCGTGTTGTCTATTCCGTATTTCATTTATGAAGGCAGAAGGGCCCAACCTCGTTCCCAGTGTTCTCTTGGGTAGGAGAGAGAACCAGGGAACGAGGTTGAGAAAGGCCGGGAGGCACTTCCTAATATGTAAGAGCAGTAGGTAGGTTTGTCCCACAGTGAAGTGGGGGTTAAATAGGGTATCGTATACTAGGCTCGTGGTATCATGCATGGAAATTGATCTGTGCTATGGAGTATCGAAGTTTCTGGTTAACGCGAGAATCTAGTGCTGTTCGACGAGGTACTTTGCCCCATGTTGACAGATTGCTTTTGTAAGCAGTTATTTGATCGTTACAATTAAATTACGACCAGCCGATTTCTTTGTCGAGCTTGGAAGTCAACACGGAGTAAGAAAGTCTGCAAAAGTGGTGACAATTAAAGGAAAAGCAAACCTGTGGAATGTTGAAGCCTACAATTTCCATGCTAATCGAATTACTTTCATCCTCTGGTAATGGTCTTCGTCGTGTTCGATTGCAAGGACCAGTTGTGACTCCTGGAGGTGATGTCGTAATATCTGGGGGTACTGTTGAGGTATCGGGGGAAGCTGTTGTTAATTCCGGTGGGCTTGTTGTTGTCTCTGATGGGCTTGGTGTAGTTACCGGGGGACCTGTTGTTGTGTCCGGTAAGGTAGTTGTAGTATCCGGGGGTGCTGTTGTAGTCTCCGGAGGTCCTGTTGTAGTGTCCGGTGGGCTGGTTGTAGTATCTACGGGTGATTTTGTGATCTCGGGCGTGTTTGTTGTTACTTCAGGAGGCCCTGTTGTGGTGTCCGGTGGGCTGGTTGTTGTATCTGGTGGTGTTGGTGGTGGATCTGTTGTAGTTTCCGCAAAATGAAAATAAAACAAATGTGACAAAATTCTTCATGCATAAACACTATTTTTTAACTTCGTTCCTTACGCATCAGTTTAGCTTTCAGGAGTAAGCAATGTTCTATTTTTTCTTACTTTCGATACACTTTCGGATTAAACACTTTTGACTGACTAAGTACCACCACCATAGATCAGATGCCATAGAGGCGGACAACGTACGTGTTCGGGTTCTCTTAGATTTGAAAGCGCTCAGTTAAACTAATTCAATTGCAATGCTGCTCTTACGGGATGGGTTAGCTGAAAAATTTCCATTATTAGGATATAATCTGCAGTTTGCATTCGTTTATTCAAAATACTACAGCGTTAAGGTCTACTACACTCTTTCCTCTATTTAAAAAAGCGAATTCAAATAGAGAGAGGAAAAGATCATTTCGACATTAAACTTGTGGAAATAACAAGTTCATTATCTACTACAATTTTCGTTGTTATAATTATCAACAACAAAACATGAACAACAGCTATATATATTCGTGGGCAAACAATTAAAATCTTGTAAGGTATCCTTAGATGCATGCATTTCAACCGAGTTTCAAAGCATTGATGATATTTGATTAACATGTTATGCAATGCAATATGATGAAATTTTACTGCCAAATCAAATCAAAGTTCCGTCCATGCCAAACAATGTCTATATCTTCAAAGCACCAAAAATATGCCGTTTACAAACCTGTTGGCTGCACACGTGGAACTTCTCTTACAAATCTGCCACCCACATTTCCTCCTGGGTCATAACGAGCCACAAAATAGTGACTATTTCCTCCTGAAGCCACCCCCATGCCAAGCTTTGACGAACTTCGCCATACTACTTGGGTGAAATGAAGATACGGCAAGCTAGGATCGATGGGCGTCCCGTCATTAAAATTATAATTAGAAGATTCGTTGTACCATTGATCTACAATCTGGCTGCAACGGACACAGGACGTTTCAGCGGCACTGTTGCAGATGTTTTGGGCTGGAATAATGGCGAGAAAACCAAGATTTTCTCCGAAAGAGTGGGTTGTGTCGTGTAGCAGACTTTGATTCTGCAGAAGAAACTGAGACCAATTTCGTGCTCCAGAAGCAATTGCCTCGTCCCAGAGCAAGGCACTTGTTCCATGCCGCTGTCGATAGCTATTGTGCGTGTCCAGACAATCTTGTTCAAAAAACGTCAGTGAAGCTTGGCCTTCTGGTTTGTCAACGTAAAACACACACACAACATTACAAACGGGTTGAGCTTTATGTTTTCGAGTGGTAAGTTTCTAATATAAATCAGTTTTGAAAACGTATATTTTTTTAAAGTAAAATTTGGCCCGGCCTTGCGAATAATACATAGCACTGAAGAACAATACATAAGCTGCGCTTGCAAAATTTGCCTGCATAAAAATTAATGTGTGTTTAACACTGTACATAGTTTTGCAGCAACCTTAAGTTCCGTGTCATGAATATAAATTGTTGTTGCTACTTTCACCAATTTTTATGTGCTGCACAATCAATCAATCGGGGGCTTTTGCCACGTAGTGCCAAAATAAAGTCTCTCCAATCATCCTGCATTTCACCCAAAGAAAAAAGAAACTACTGAGGTATACCTCGTTAACAAAAAATACTGAATTCAAAGTTCTCTAAAACAATTTAATAAACTCGCAGTTCGTGATATTGCAACGCCACACATCGTGTTTTCAAGCTAGATAAAACACACTTCGTGGTTTTGAAAAACAGTACTTGAGTTATAAAAATGGGGACTTTTTAATAGAATTTATTAATGTTATGTGCCACAGCTTGGCGGAGGTTCTAGGCTCATGTCTCTTGGAACAAAATTAAAAGTTGACGAATATTGAGTTAATTTGAAAAAAAATTATTAAATGAAGCCGCAAATCGTGTCTCATTACATAAATCAAGCTATCTGAAGCTACTGAAGTAATTCATTACTTTCTGGATTTTGAAAACAGCTCTTACGTTAACAAAAGTCGTTTATTAGATTTTATTTATTTCGCCAGTTTGACTCACATCCTGTCTACATTACAAATTGTGGGCCAGAAATGTAGTATTTAGTTGGCGCTTAAGTAACTTAGATAAAATGCGGCAAAACATTGTCATCCCACCGCAGCTTAATATAGCAAACGACGCGCGGAGGAAGGTTGTTCCCCGCCGCACGATTAACTTTGTCTAAAAATATAATTGGGTACAAATTAACAATTAGTTCATGCGGCAGCGTGCGTATGTCGAGATATTGAGCACGCGGGAAGTTTGGAGAGCACGAAAGAGGCGTAAGAGTTGCACGAGGCGCAGCCGAGTGCAACTCTAGCCTTTTGAGTGCTCTCCAAACTTCCCAAGTGCTCAATATCTCGACATACGCACAGCTGCAGCATGAACTAATTGTTTTATAGCATTATCAAAGCGATCAATGCAGCAGTTAACTGAAAATTTTATTATTGTAGGGCGCGCTCAAAGCAGTACGCGTTAATGATTACGTGACTATATTTTTTTTCCTCACAGTTAATCTTATGTTTTTATCCTGAAACTGAGAGAAAGTGTACTCTAAAATGATTGCAAAATCCATATTTAGGTGCCGGAAAACTTTTAATTTACCGAAAAATTGTTATTGAGAGAAAACAACTTTGCAAAGAATGATCTCACGCCATAGCCCGCACAGCTCGCCGAGATGACAACAACAACAACAACACTCACCTCTTTTCCTTACTATCGGTTAACAAATTCAAACCTTTCCTCTTAAATTTCCTTATAAAACACATGGTAAACGCTTCATTGTCTATTGCTGAGTTATGGATGCACTCGGGAGACTCAGGATTGCTAAGCTCCCAACAACTCGAGGAATTACGAATAGTTTATTGACGTCATCAGCGTGCTCAATAGGAATATGAAGCACGCTCGCGCTATTGAATTTGATTAGGCGAATTTTCTAGCTATGTTATAATATATCATATCAATCATCAGCATTAAGTTAAACGAAGCCTCGGCAGATTGTCACACTACTATACCTGTTTCTACTTTATTTCCAATGAACTCAACAGTTAAATGCGGGAGCTGATTATGTAAAATCTTTTCAATATTCGAACTTTGAGGTATGCATTGATATGCTTTTCAAAAACATGCACGTGATTATTATGCGTGTTTTTAAGAGTTGTTTACTGAAGATTGAACACTTTTTGGTATATAATTAATTACTTTTTTATAGGTATAGCCAGACTCTTAAGAGAAATAGGAAAAACACATCTATTTTCAATTCTTCTTGGTTAACTATTTATTTAGAATAACAAGCAAGTAGAATTTCTTTCTTGCCATACAGAGTGGTTCACTTTTACGAATTTAAACTCGACAAACCGTATGAAATTTTTGATAGATCGGCTACCACTCACCACGAAGTTTATGTTTCTCATTTTTTTTTTCTGTGCTGTCGCTTCAAAGGCAGCAGTTATTAAGTGAAACAATACGACAAAAACCAAAGATTTTATGGAGGCTTTTGTACATTATGCAAGCTTTTTGTCGAGGGTTATCGTGAGGCAAAGCATGAAGCAAAATTCGAGCACTGAACCGGAATTTTAAGGAATATTTTTTTTTTTCGGAGAAAACTGAAATAAAAAAATTAAGAGAAAATAAACACTTAAAGTTAAATTTAAAAAGAGTTACCCTAATACCTCCGAAAAACAAAAATTACAGAAACAAAAGCATAATGTACAAAAGCCTAATTTATGACAATGATATCTAATTTTTTTTTTTTGTTGACTTTCCTTCCGTCTTAACACTAAAGTCAATTGAAGACACACAAACACAAAGGAAATTGACATTATCACTTACCTGCAGATTTCATGCTCGTCAAGGATAGAAGTAGCAGCGATAAAAACAACATGTTGAATAGTCTAAAAAAGCGTCCTTGGCTTTCAAAAATAGAATATCATTTCATGTTGCAGTTACTAGTTATAACTAGCAAGCAAAAATCGTAAGTCCAGGAGAACCAGGAACTGAAGTATGTCCTGTAAGCACGGAATTTCAGGTGTATAATTTCATCTCGAGCTTGTAATGAATCACTTTTTCCCCATTCATGAGAAGAGAAAAGTTGGACTAATATACTGTTTAAGATTGTTACTATAGCAGTCGAGAGTATTGACTCTTTTATGGCAAATTATTTTGTTCAAAGGTAGCTATATTAGCACAGTAGCACTGAGTTTTGATCTTGTTGTTTACATATTTTTACCATTTCCTTCGTACTTTTTCCTTTGTTTTTTTCTCTCCTGACTGCTGTTAAACTGACAATGTATATTTATTAGTTTGATAATTGGAGCAAGGCTTGCTAGATAGTTGGACGGCTTCCATGCTCTAAATTATGGATACGTGCTAGTGGAGACTAAATGTCTCCTTATAAATCGTGCGATATGGCTTTGACACATCGCTACATGTAGGTTGTAGCGCATATTGAGGTGATTAAGGAGCTGTAGAATATTGGTACGCATTCGTTAGAGACAGCATCAAATAATGAAATGTCGATTAAAATAATTGGTTCATCGGGATTTCTCTTTGGTCGCAACTGCCTACTTAAACGTATACTATAAGAGCACTGACAGGACGCTCATAGGCTACAAATCATTGCACGTCCCTCGATTATAAAGATAACAAAGATGATTGATAGAACGCCTTTAATGGAATAATTATTGCACAGATAGTAAGGATTGATAAATCTAGAGGCGCCGTCATTTCCAACCGCAGTTTATATTATGTAAATAAGTTAGGTCGAAATTTCCCACCAATTTCGATCTGTTGCAAAACCACTGGTATTGACTTTCTCACGGAGGTCAGAAAAGAGCCCGGGGATGATGCTAATTTTCTAATAGCCCTATTAAATTAAGCTTACTGGTTAAAATATTATCATTTGGGTAGCACTGCCTTGTGTTCAAATCAAAAAATTGCTACTTAGAAAATTTTTGATATTGTACCAGCCAGTACTTAAGCAGTGAAATCTTTAAATATAAAACTACTCGATCAAACGTAATCCCTACTAGAGAATGCATTCATTAGAGTTGAAACAAAAACAAAAGATCAATCTTAGTAATTTTCAGTGAGCAAAACACACAAGACGTTTGCAGTCCAACGTAAGCTGACTGTTCTCAATTGACAAGATTTTGTTCGGGTTTTAGACCAAAAATCATTAAATTCAGCTTTCAAATATGTGCAGATAAACTATAGAGAAGTTCTTTTTTAGATTTTCGAGTGCAGGAAAACACGTTTTTATGATCAGGCAATATCCAGAATGTAGCTCTTTGAAAGTTTACATAATTGTTTATTTTTGTTTGGGTCGTGTTTTCTTGAACTATGGAAATTGCTTCCCTTTATCGAAGCTAGTTCTTTCTCGAGGCGACGATTTTGTCCCAATATGATGCTTACTAATTTCTCTGCAATTACAAGGGAATGGTTAAATTAACGATCCGTGCTGGCCCCGTCTGGTGGGCTGAGTCGCTTTTTCAATAGCCGGGCTGGCTCGCTTGTTATGTACTAATCATAAAGTATATTTTCGTTGCATTTAACTAAGGAGCCGAGATCCGGGCAAAGCGGCAAATTAGAAAAACCCGAATCATGTACATCAGGCCCTAAAACTTGCTATACTGGACTCCAAGTTTAATTAAAGCCTTTGCGGGCGAGGAGGCTAAGTCCAACATTCCTGTTGGAGCAGTCAAAAGTTTGTGCAATTCCGTTCGAGAAGCTTCAGATCGTGTAGGCAGTTTTCCAGAACTCTTATTTCGCTCCATGTAAGGGATTCAGAATTCCAGAATCCGGGAGACTTTTGCTTGAGGAATACAGAATCCGGGAAATTTTTAATCCGGAATCTTGGGCTTTGGAATCCGGAATACAGCTTAAGGAATCCGAAAATCCCTCTTCAACTTGCAATCCAAAATCCAAGTTCCACTAACAAAGACCGGAATAAAGTATCTGGAATCCGGAATTCTAGGCGCGAAATCCAGGATCCAAGACTGTTTTGGTTAACTTTACATGTGGCGACTTATTGGTGTCATCAGCGATTTAGCTGCAGTCTATAGCACAAGGGTATTATATGAGTGGCATATACAGTGTCACGTGGTGTCCCAAAACAATGAAACGGCGGCCATATTGGTGTCCCAAACCAATCCTCCCGTGGGAGTTGTAGTCTTTTCTTATGCAAACGCTTTCTTTTGTTCCATTTAAATTTGCATAGATGCAAGCCACGTGAGTGAAAACACTCTATTAGAAATGTCAATAGAAAATGTAAATAGTTAACACCCATTGTTAGCCATTTTGTTATGGTAGCAGGGATGAACAGGCGGTGTTACAATGCTAAGTGTTTGTTGTTTGCTCTCTTTTCGTCTGCATTACAAGGGAAAACATTGAAGCTTGTTTAAAACGACGATCGAAATCGTGCATTGTATATAAGTACTTTTTGGAAAAAAGTTTCACTATCGTGTAACTAACGTGATTCCATGTAAACCTTTTTACCCTGTAAGTATCCGAAACACGTGGCCTGTACGAACGTTAGTTGTGATTGTTTCAATATCTTCTTAGTTGCTTTAAGTTTCTGATCTTATAAACACTTTAGGGCTCTTCAGGATTCACGGTGTGTATTCCAAAGTGGCGTCGTAAACAATTAAACGCACTATGCACGGCAAAAGAAGGTCCCTCATACCGCAAAAATGATTTTACAAACATTTTGTTTTCCCTGTGAGAAAGAGGAGAAGATTTGATCTCATATAAAAAGTCTATAATTTTATTATCTCTGTAAAAGGTCCAGTTTTTCCAGTGTCAGTTACTTATGATGGGCAAATATCAGCTGCATGTACGAGCAAAACAGCTGAAACAATGCAAAGCCATTGAAAATCTTTATTCGCCCGGCCATTTTTAAGGCTCTCTTTTACGATACTATCGCTAATGAGTAGCTTAAATTTAAAATTTCAGTTGTTCTACCAAAAAAATGTTTCAGGAGAGCAGTGTCAGATTTTACAAACTTAAGAGGGTAAATATTGTTTTACTTAGTAATCGTAGCAACCTTTTTATTCCTGAACGATGTTTGTTCTTTATCTCGACATTTCATCGATACACAATTCATCATAGCCCTATAGTCCTTTCTTTGTAAATGAAAATCGTCTTGTTATGTCCTAGCAACATGCGTTCCCAATATTGAGCTTAAAGTAGCAAGTTTTGGCCGTATGTTTCGCAGACTGGCTTTTGAAAACAATACTCTATTCTTGCATTTATAAGGTAAGGGCCACATAACAGACAAAAAAGATCATCGAGCATAATTAATCGCCACACTTTCGTACATATAGAGATAAACTCTGTAGGCCTGATTTTTTTAAAGTTTACTCTTATGCCACCCATACATAGTTTAATGGTCTGGCCAGCTTCCCACTTTTTACGTGTAATTTCAATATTTCAGTCGATTCTATGAATGAATAGTAATTAAATATTAATCTTAATTACCTAACACTGCTGACCTAGCTATTTCAAGAAGCGACTGACTTTTCTAGTTCTCGCACGTATTACCAAATCAAGGAACTAAGAAAGACGGAAGTTATGAATACAGAAGCCTCGGCATACTTGCCCTTTGTATTAGGGAACCGACATGACAATTTGACTCTGTTTCAAGGGTGATCTATAATCTTCCATCTTTTTTAAAAATATCTCTGTTTTTCAAATGATTAAGTCAAGTGCCTCGGTATTACAGGTTTCAGTTCAGTTGCTAACAAATAGCACTTGTTTCACTTTCAGTTATATTTACACCAAAACATTTGGCGAGCAGCAGAAACATCATTCCAATTAGTACGCCGTATTTCAGACCGCATTCCAATAAAAACGAAAACCGTCATGAAAATTATTATTCATCGTGGCATGTGTTTAAAGGGGTCGCCTATCGTTTGTCTCGCGACATAATTATACTTATAGTCACGTAGTTAATGATCGCAACGTCTCGACCGCGTAGTCGGTACTGCAGGTCTTTATCAGGCGATTGCGTGTGTGGATTTACGGTGGAGTGGGACCGATTGGCAGGCTTCGACAGTTTCGCTTAAGGTAAGACATAGGTAAGTCTTTTGCATCTTATCGTTTATGCAAAAAGTTTGAATGATTTTAAAAGATACTGCAGAAATTATAGCTGTTAATACAAATGCTGCTCCTCAAAATTGCGAAGTATTTAAAACTAACATGTCATTGACATACTTGACATCGTAATTCAATTAATTTCCATATCTACAGCTTCCCACAGAACTAGACTTATGAGAAGAAAATTTTACCTGGGCATGATCCTGAAGTACAATTCTGTGTTTCGTTCCTTGGTCCTCGACAGTCTGAACCATTGTTAACCGGAGGGGGATTAGTACAGGTACGAATCCTAACTTGGGCGCCAGACCCACACGAGGAGCTGCACTGTCCATACTGACTCCATTCTGTGAATCCTCCATCAACTATCAAGGGAATTACACATAGTTCAAAACCCTGCTAACAATATGATGCCTTTCCAACTCATAAGTAATTTACTAAGTGGAAGGATCGAGCGAGATCACGAACTTGGCATGGGTAGCTGGCAAAGCTATGGTAATTGTCCCTGAAGAGGTGCCCGATAATCTCTATAAGCAGTATACAGAATTTTCAACATTGCCCATTTTTCAACAACGTTTTGGCTTTTGAAATTATATAATTTTATGGTAAGTTTGCTCTATTTGGAAAGGCTGCACGCAAGCCAAAATCTTACACTACTTTTCAAATTAAACAACCACTATCGCCTTCACTTGAGGTGAGGGAATGGAGGAAAGAAATTTCCCCCTCAAAAAACCCGCATGGTAACACTGGTTCCACAGACAGGGTTCGCATGCATCAAATTTTACTGAGCATTGTCATCAGAGGCATTACAACTCTCACGTCTCCCCTGTTGATGAGGGAGTTGGACATGGAGTTCTCTTTTTTAAGTCGCCAGGGTCATTTACGTCACTAATTCTTGGTTTGCAACCACGTGACAAGGCGGCCATGTTGGGGGTCAAAACAAAAGAATATTTCCTCGAAGAATTTACGTGAAAATAGAGTTTAGTTCCCAGAGGAGAGAAATGCTTTTGTTCTTGACCCCCAACATGGCCGCCGTGACGTCACGTGCAAACCAGCAATGGGAAAAGTGATTCTCAGACTATGTATAGTCAATCGTGTCTCTTTACCTGAAACTTGTACACCCAGCGTAGCACTCGCGTTTTGTACAAAAGCGTCCAAAAACGTCTCCACCTTGCTCAGGGTTAGTGTTGTCATGCCAGAAGACGAGTTCACACCAGCATCCAAGTTAATGTAGAGTCTGACTTTAAGAGGAGTGTTTTGAACTGGAAACCCTGGCGCTATTTGTACAATTTTAGGATCTGGGGGAGGGCTTTGGAAGAAAAACAAAATAGAAGATTTAAGTATCTCCTGGACAGTTAAGTTATCGGCAGACCTGATGTAGTCAATCATGCTGTTTCTTGCTTGTCAGTATTAAGTTTTAAAATGATTTGTGGTGCAAAGGATTAATAATATTCAAACCCCGTTAATACCGACACTCAGAAGCCGGAGGCCATAGAAAATGTCCGTAATAACGGGGCGTCGGTAAAAGCGGGTCATGCTATTTCATAACAAAAAATACCCCTTATATTTAAACAACATACTAAGGAAATAATTACAGGACACAAGTATCTGATTATAAACATCTCTAGTCTCTACAAAGCCCCATTCCTCTGACCTTTATCCACGGAAACACTCAAACGTCGCTCATTTATACATTACTTAAAAAAATTAGTTCTCATAGCATAACTCGTTAAGATGCCAAAATATTGTGAAATTGGCGTGTATAATTCATCTTGTCTGGTGTACTGAAGTGCAGGGAACATCGGCATACTGTCAACCTATTTTGTTTTTAACCTAGAAAAAGGAAATGTTCGGTGCAGCGTCAGTTTTGGCAATGAAGTGTATGCATTAGCGAGTATTACTCTCTGTGACAATCTTTTGATTGGGCGCTATAAAAAGAGTCCGATGTCCGCATTAACAGATGTCGGTCCTAAGCGGCTTAAAGTTAGAGAAAATGCAAGGGCCTTTTCCAGGGAGAAAAAAACTGTCCATAATAACAGAGATGTCCGTATTAAGGGGGTGTGTGTAAGCGGGGTGCGACTTTATAGAATAAAACAGTAGCCGACAAATTGGAAGCAAGTTAACGAGAAAATATGGATTAAAGGTTTAGTAGAGCGGGAAAATTCAAGGCAATAAACTCTTTCATCAACTCACATAATCGGGCAAGATCCAGAATTAATGCAGAATTCAGCAACATATTCAGCAAGTCGCTGCCGAAATAGATCCTCACTGAAACACCACTAAAACAGAAAAAGGAAAATGCGTTTTTTGACAAATGTATATCACCATCATTAACACTTCCTTCATCATCACCAACCGCACGTTATACCCCGTGTCAACTAAATTATAAGGAGTTCTATTGACATTTTTTTTAAAAAAAATTAAAAATCAAACCTGTGGAATGCTGAGGCCTTGAGTCACCACGACAAATGAATTGTTGATGTCCTCCTGTGTTGGTTCCCGCCTAATTCGATCACATGGTAATGCAGTTGTCGGCAATGGATTTATTTCTGGCGTCGTCGATGTAGGTTTTGTGATTTCTACGGGTACGGTTGTGGTATCTTGATGTTCAGTCGTGGTATCTAAGACTCCAGTTGTGATATCTAGAGAACCAGTGGTTGTATCTGGAGGTCCACTTGTGATATCCAGAGGTCCAGATGTGGTCTCTGGAGCTCCGGTCGTAATACCTGGTGGCTCAGTCGTGATGTCTGAATGTGCAGTTGCGGTAACTGGAGGTCCACTTGTGATGCCTGTATGTTCAGGTATGATACCTTGAGGTCCCGTCATGATATCTGGAATTCCAGACGTAGTATCTGGAGGTCCCGTCGTGACACCAGGAGGTCCAGTTGTATCCGGGAGTCCAGTGGTGATACCTGGAAGTCCAGTAGGGATAACTGGGGGTCGATTAGTGATATCTGGAGGTGACTTTGTGATACCAGGAGGTTCAGTTGTGGTATCTGGAGGTTCGGTTGTGGTATCTGAAGGCCCCGTTGTGGTATTTATATCTTCAGTTATGATACCTTGAGGTCCGGTCATGATACCTGGAATTACAGATGCAGCATCTGGAGGTCCAGTCGTGACACCTGGAGGTCCAGTTGTATCCGGGGGTTCAGTGGTGATACCTGGAAGTCCAGTAGTGATACCCGGGCGTCGATCAGTGATATTTGGAGGTGAGTTTGTAATACCAGGAGGTTCAGTTGTGGTATCTGGAGGCCCCGTTGTGGTATTTATATCTTCAGTTATGATACCTTGAGAACCGGTCATGATACCTGGAAATCCAGACGTAGCACCTGGAGGTCCAGTCGTGATACCTGGAAGTCCAGTAGTGATAACCGGGGGTCCATTTGTGAAATCTGTAGTTGAATTTTTGATACCTGGAGGTCGAGGTGTGGTTTCTGGAAGTCCAGTGGTCATACCCGGAGGCCCAGCTGTCGTGTCCGGAGGACCCGTTTTGCTATATTGAGGTGGATTTGTGATATCTGGAGATGCAGTTGCAGCATCTGTGGGTCCAGTTGTGATATCTAGTTGTCCAGTGGGAGTATCTGAGGGTGCAGTTGTAACATCTGGAGGTTCAGGTGTAGTATCTCTAGGTCCAGTTGTGATATCGAGAGGTGTCGTTGTGGTAGCTTCCATCGTAGCAGGAACCGCTGTTGAGGTAAGTATCATAAGAATTCTATCATCTAGTCCGCTTTTAAATTCTAAAATTGCTACAAAATACCACTTTTCTGCCATTTTTCTTCACTGAACATATCATCAGGTGATCTAACATATAAAACATGAAAGTAAAGTTGGATCGTCAAAACGTTTCGCCAACAGAAAAGTTTATGCTGAACCTGACATTCATTTATTATAATAAACACGAGGCAAGCAACTGAAAACTCAGACGCCTACTATCAAAGCCTCTGTATAATATAGTTTTAATATAAAATTATCTGCCATTATGTTACAATGACATCCACTATAACGCCACTGATGAGTTATGTATATTTTATGGCTAAATCCGCGAGATGAAATGACTCCTGTGTTCTATTTGGCCACCTGACACCGCGTTACAGCGTTGGTTCCGCAAGTAAAATTTCTATTTTTGCCATATAATAAATCCTTTATTTACCAAGATTATTCGCGGTCAAGATGGCTGGATATTGGTATCGTTCTTTTTCGCATTTCTGTGGACCTCAACTTCGTCTCGGCCCATAAAAACGCCAAAAAAAACTTAGCCAATATCCAGTCATCTTGACCTTCCGCTTGGTCAATAATACATATGTATCTCACTTAAAGCCACTTCTCATAGCAGCGTGATACCTGAATGTCTCGTTGTAGTGTCCGGATGTCTCTCTGTGGTACCTGGAGGTCCAGATGTGGTATGGGGAGATACCGTTGTTGTATCTTGAATTATAGTTGCATTTCCAGGGCGTCCAGTTTTAGCCTTCGGGAGTTCAGTTGACACTTCTGGAGGTCTAGTTATGGTATCTGTAGGTCCAGTAGTGATGTCTGAAAGTCCACTCATAATACCTGGAGGTCGAGTAGTGGTAACGGGAGGTCCCGTTTTGGTATCTACGAGTCCAATACTAAAATCTGGGGCTCCAGTGGTGGTTTTTGGAGGGCCAGTTGTGGTATCTGTAGGTCCAGTTGTGGTATCTGCCGGTCCAGCAGTGATATCTGGAATTCCAGTTGTGTTATCTGTAGGTCCAGTAGTAATATCTGGAAGTCCACTCGTAATACCCTGAGGTCGAGTAGTGTTATCTTGAGAGCTAGTTGTGACTTTTGTAGGTCCAGTTGTAGTAGTTGTGGTAGTTGTAGGTCCAGTGGTGATGTCTGGAAGTCCAGTTGTGGTGTCTATAGGTCCAGTAATGTTACCTAGAAGTCCATTTGTAATACTTGGAGGTCGAGTAGTGGTGTCTGAAGGTCTAGTTGTGGTATCTGCAGGTCCTGTTGTGGTATCTGGCGGTCCAGTTGTAGCATCGTAAGGTTCTGTTGTGACATCCGGGGTTTCTGTCGTCGTAGGAACTGCTGTTGAGGTTAGAGTCGTTAGAAATGGATTAATATATACTGTCTTATCTCGTGCATTCTGTAATTTTGTAAAAATACCACAATTGACGTATTTCTTTTGCTCAACAAATTACCAGGTTTTATAAAAAATCGGCATAACGTTAGCGGGTTAGCGTTTAGCCAGCGCGAAAACGATCTGCTGAACTTTTAGCTTGACATTTATAAACACCACACGAGCAACCAAAAGAATCTCTTGTAGACCAATTCGCACCAAGGCTTAAACATGTTTCAAAGCTGTTTAGTTAAACACGTTTTAAATTAGTTTTCTTTATAGAATCTGCTTACTGTACTTTTATCAATTGCAAATTTGGTGCAGTTACGTAACGAGTTGCAGTTCATTTGTATTCTGTTTTAACGCCGATGTTCTTGTTTTTTTTTGTTATTTTTTTTACACTTTTAAAAACCTAGTTTAATTAAACATGACTTGTTGTTGGTGTAAGCAGGATATTTGTTGTTTTTATAGAACACTCTTTAAGTACATAATAATAATAATAATAATAATAATCAACTTTATTTAACGAGGATAACACGGGACAGTAATTGAAGTGAATAACTAGTGGCCCTCAAAATGCATCAATGACGTTCGTTCAATCAGGTAGAAGACGGTTTATCTTGCCAAATTCAAAAGTTTCTTGTCTGGCACGTCGTGCATAGGACGCCACATACACCTCAAGCTTCCAGTTACTATTAAGTATTAACTCTCTTCGGAAGTTAATAATAATGGAGGCTAAACTACCGCGCCCCAGACAAGAGTGATCAATTGAAACAAGCAAGGTAAACCATCTTTGATCCAATTCAAATCCCTCATGAAGAATCACGAGCACACTTTTTATGATATATTAGCTAATGTAGCATTCGGGTTTCCTGTATGACCTGTTTCTCACTTGCATTTTTGGACCTTATCGAACTCTCTACATGCAGATAATTAAAAGCCAAAAGATATTGAACAAATAATAAGTACCCGATATTAGTGACCTACCTGACATTACAGTCGATGATGGCACAATATCCGATGCACTCGTCGATTTGAATATCATATCCACTGTAACAGTTGTCGGTGACACAATATCTGGTGTAGCAATTGTTGTTGACCCAATATCAGGTGCAGCAGAAGATTTGGATAAAATATCCACTGTAATAGTGGATAACGACACGATATAGGGTGAGCCACTTGAAGAAAGGTCAATATCACTTGTAGCGGTTGTCGTTGATCTAACATCCGGTGTAAAGGTAGATATCGACTCACTATTCAGTGCAACAGCTGATGTTAGCACAATGTTTGACGCAGCCTTTGATGTTAGCTCAATATCTGGAGAAACCGTTGATGTTTGCTCGATATGCAATGCAAAACTTGTCGTTAAGTCAATGTCCGATGCAACAGTTGACGTAAGTTCAATGTCCGGCCCAACAGTTGATGATGTCATCATATCAGATGTCGAGGACGATGTCCACGCAATATCAGGTGTAACAGCTGATGATGAATCAATGTTTAGCGTAGCAGTCGATGTCGACGCAATACTCACTGTAGCAGTTGATGTCCAGACAATATCTGGTGCAACAGTTGATGTTTGATCGATATCTAACGTGGCAGTCGATGTTGACTCAATATCCGATGTCGCAGACAATGCCAACATAATATCAGGTGCGACAGTTGATGTTGGGTCGATATCTAGTGCAGCAGTCCAAGTTGAGACAATAGCATCCGATGAAGCAGTCGAGGTCCACATAATATCTGGTGCAACGGTTGATATTGTCATGATATCCGATGTCGCATGCGAAGTCCACAAGATATCCGGTACGGCAGTTGATGATGACGTAAGATCCGTTGGAGGAGTTGAATTTGATATGTCCGATGAAACAGATGACGTGGGTGCAGTATCTGATGAACGTTTTGATGATGACAGCATAACCAAAGGAGTTGATGTTGATGAAACATCCCATGCCACACTTGAAATTAAAACAATATTTGATGTAGAAGAGGGCGTATATGGAATGTCAGATGAAACAGAGGAGATTGATGTTATATCTGGTAATACGTGAAAAGAAAGTGTCATGAGATACATTATTTATTACCCGTAACAACAGTTATTTAAGATCACACAAGCAGAAAGAGAAGCATTGCTTATGAAGACACATTACTGATTGATGATATTTCCTCTGATAAGCAGCGCTTCGCACAGAAGAGGGTTGTTAAACCTTTCCCAAAGGTAGCAATAGGTAGTTATTTTTTTCACCTTACAAGGAACTTACCTGCCAAATGGCTATGGTCACAGAATGAGAATCTCAAGTCCGGTACCACTAGAAAGTGCAGTAGATCAGCCAATTAAGCAAACCAGTTGACCCCCCTTTACCTTGTATATTGCAAAAAGGATAACACACCAGAAAGAGGGTAAGTGTAAATGTGCATTTTAATTAAATTCCATTGTCACTTGCCAATACAATTTATGCCATCTACCATAGCCATGGATAAATTTCCTAGCAGTCTTGCTTCATGAAAAATTTGTGCACGAGATACTAAATCCCCGGTCGAGTCTGAAACTTAGGAACTGTTGGACAGTATAGACCCTATCCGACACACCTAAGGGTATAGAGAAGAGACCTCTGACGTAAGATTACCATGGTAGCAAAATTTCTGGATCACAACAATTTTTCTTGACAGAGATGGCCATTTTCATTGTCGAACGATGGCAGAAAAGTATGGGCTAGTGGTTTTGTTCCTGAGTGTAACCATGCACAGGAAAAGTCATACATGTCAACCTTTTCACTATTTTCTGTCCTATCTGCAGGACTACGGTTTGTTGAGATCCAGAAACCATGGCAACCAAGGTAACGTGATGTAACGACTTCTCTCTATTGTAGGTTAACTAATGATGCAAGTCCGATAAGGCCTAGCAATTCGTATATTTGTATGAAAGCACTTATTCATAAATACCAGTAGCATAATAACTTCACCTGAGCATAAAGTTTTGAGCACATAGCTCTCTGGTGTTGTGTTAGCGGTCTTAAAAAAAGTGGTCCGTCAGTCCCTTTGCAATAAAGCCTTTTAAAAAAGGTACATTTACTACGGGGTAATTATGACCTAACTGTTTATAGCCAGTGACTTGCCATTGTAATCAGGGACAAAAATGTGCCAGATTTATATTCTTTTACTTTTTCGTCTTATACCAAGCTAAGTTATAAATGTAGTAAGCTAACAGTGCGCATATCTAATCTAAGCTATATTGCAACGACGCAGTGATTTTGGGTGTCTGAATTTCTTGGTGTGTGAATTTGTCCACTAACTAATTTCATTCTCCAATTTAACCTTTTCGTTTCATTCAAAATACAATCGCCTGGCAATCACGCCGAAAATTATTTTAAAATATTTCAGCAATGATTGCGTGAGTCAGTTGAATCGTTGCTTTGTTTACATTGTAGCATTCCTGAACATCGTAATATTTGACTCTCGAGTCCAAACTCTGCAAGTACTATGTTTTTTGGGGGGTATAAAATGACTACTCAAGTTCGCAGAAAACATATACAACATGCAATAACCTAAGTGTTTGAAAGAAACTGAGGCCTTGAGTTTTATATAATGCCTCGAGATCCCGTAATAGATCTTAAAACATGGAAAAGATACAACGATTCTGGTGTCCTTGTTTTATGAATCGACGACCGTGTTTTAGGACGAGTTTGGAAATACTGGTGTCATAACGCTGGAAAATAACACATTTTTGTCTGCGTACATTCTAAACTAAACCACAAAAGCAATACCTTGGTTTATTTTTAGTCTCAGATTAACCAGATATTTAGTTACAATGTAGATTTTTAGGGACATTTAAAATTGATCTTGATATAATGGCTGGTTTTCTTAGCTCACGGTTCAGAGGCGAGTCGAATTTTCATCACTGTTCTTGTGAATAAAGGATGTAAAAAATAATCTCCAAAGCCACTTCTTTCAATTGGTCTTTTGAGAGTGATTAAATTAATATTGTGATTTACAATATTAATATATTATCGGGACTTTCTGTAATTATTAGAAATGTCTGGAGATCAATAAGGGCAATTTATCTGGATCGAAGTTGTAATTGAAACGAAAAGAAGACTACTAAAATGAGATGATTTAAAACACATCTCAACGGGATTGTTACGAAACTTTTTCATGCTACTGATAGCACTTAAGCAGCTTAAAATCGCAATCAATACTTAATCCCTTCAATGCTAGAGTTAATGAAGAAGTCTGTAAAACAACGGGTTCTGACTGTTGAGTCTATGGGCAAAAATTTATAAAGTGACAATTAAAATAAAACCCTCAGTCAGCTGATCTTTCTCCTGGTACCATGCTGTTTAGCATTTCAAAACTTGTGTAAAAATTTGACAGTTTTGTTAAATTGTGTCTAAGTAAAAGCCTGAACAGACAAAATCGAACTCATTATAATCCATATTTATTGTTAATGCATATGTTTTCTAACATAAATCACAAGCTGGGAATTTTTGCAGATAATCAATGAAGTTTCTTATTAAGAGCTGAAAGAAAAAAAACGTTGCTCCAGCGATATTTACTGGACCTAAAAGACTCTGGTAACAGCCATTATTTGGTATATTATACGACTTTATACTCAACGAATCTTCAAACGTCCTGGAGACATGAGGGACATTTAACGAGAGTACCATGCCACAACACCTTAACCCCTTCCTGATTCTCACCGCAAGATAACATCACTCTAGAAACAGGCGAGCTACTTTTCAAAAGCGGTGCTCAAATTTGGCCCCCACCGGCGGTCTGATCTAAAGACTTTTTCTAAAAAAACAAACTCGATGGTGGGTGTCGCATTCAAAATGCCTACAGTGGTTCATACTGCACACCTGTGTACCGGCGAAGGAACGGATTTTGCAATTGTTAAGGTGGGGATGGACCGATAGGACTGAAGAATGTCACTTGTTATACAACACATTTAACATGACTTACTTACCAGTTTGAGCAAAGCAGGTTCGGCTTGACATAGCCAAAAGTATGCTAGCCGAGAAAAGCAGATCAAAAGACATTTTTAGCCAGTCACAAGCCACAAGTTCCTTCATAGAGGTATTTCAATCTATTTAACCTAATTTGTAAACAAGTCCGCTCTCAACCTCCGGCCATTTTGAAGTAGGTGGTGTTAGTTTGGAGAATTTTAGCAGAATATATTTGCGTGTTGTTCAAAGACCACGTGTCAAGAGGGACTTTTGGGTTTCCATGGTACTTCGTTCTGTTATTTACAATCTGTTTCCGTTACGGCGACATGAAAATATTATGACTGTAAGGTCCGTGTTTAAAGACCCATACAACTTAATTATCAACTTTCCTAGAGTAGTTAACTTTTTTTAAACCTTTTTTATAAACTAGACGATTTAAGAGAAAAAAGCTACCCATATAGAATAAATTCTCGAGGTAAATCCTACTTTTCAGGGGGGCCCAATTATTGATATTAATACATGGGCAAAACACTCAGAACTTAGACGGTGTTTTCATGTTCAATACTGATCTGATGAAGAATAAATAATGAAATTCGGGAGACCACCTGAATCTTATCCTGTGGAGATCAAAGAAAGTGATCACTGAAGAATCATTCAATAATTACTATGTTGTTGATCTATTTTGAATCGTTTCTATCGATTAGCAGGCTTTTCCAAGAAAACAGCTGTTACGAAGATTACTGAAACACTTTATGTAATTGCGATTAAAAAGTCTGTATTTAGACTGCATATCGGTCGAGTACTTCTCCACCAAGCGAGTCGATAATCAGGACCAAACATGCAAAAGGAAGTTTGGGATCAAGAGCTCTATGAAACTGAAAAACAGAGTCACTAACAGGCCTTAACGTGACTCCCAAAGGAGCTGACTGAAGATCTTTAAAGAGACAGGTTCACGGTTAAGCGCATGCTCATTAATTAAATTACTTTTTTCCAGTTTTATTATTAATAATCCCACTCACGTGTATCTCAGCGATCTCAGAGTCTATTTCAAAGGAGAAGTGTATTTCAGAGTAACCTGAAGTAGGATGGAGGAGTGCTAAAATCGGAGAAAACATTAGTGGATCATGCCAACACTACCAACGTTGACCGCAATTTTTTGTTGACCCGAAGGTTTTATTCCATGGTTGATTAATTTACAGCTATTTGCAAATATTTAGGTTGATCAAGTGCAAGTGACTGCCAGAGGAGTGGGCAGATTGGTTCTTTGACAACATTATGACATGATCATATTGCATGCATAGACGATACAGCATGTCGCGGCAGATAAACAGCATTTTGATAAAAGAGAATGTGCTGAACTGTAAACTTGTCCCTTCGAAAAATAATTATATAGATTTAGCCAAGGCAAAAGGCGCTGCTCCTAACAAAGTTATAATTTACTTCAAACAATAACCTTGTAACCATTACAAGGAAATCCACTTGGAGTTTAGCCTGCGATCAATTGACGAGTAATCAGCTGGTAAATTGTCAGCGGATAACCTATAAAAAAACACGAAACCTCGATGGGTCGACACCTGGGCCCGCGATAGGCTCATGTGATACTGGTCAGCGGATACCTTGTTTTGACAGCTGTCAATTGACCACAACAGGATTTGCAATATCAGGTTCTTAGCTAGAAATTGCGAGATTTCACACTGGTTGCCCTGTGATTCCTGTGGTGCAGACGGACGGATGTACGGTCAAGTGATCACCAAAATTTCTCGGATGGATAGATGACCAAATATTCTTTGCTGTGGGGCTCCACTACGAATAAAAATGATAATAATAATAATAATAATAATAATAATAATAATAATAATAATAATACATGGGGCGCTCAATCACATTTTATTTATTTATTTTTTTCTTTTACTGGCTCTTACTATTTGAAGTATGCAAAGTACTGTTTTCCTTTCTTAATAATAAGAATGATCACGAAAATAATTTCTCATAAACTCCGATCCATGTCATTTATTATGTTAGTGGCCAAGGCGAACACTTTTGGCCATGAATTTCTACGGTGTTTCCTAGTGGAAATCAAGAAACTGATTTGGATGGTCAGCTTTGAAATGGAGTCGAAAACTGACCTAAGCAATCGTAAAGAAGTGGGTCTTGCGCAAGTAACGCTCCAAATTTTTTTCAGTATGAGTGAAGCTTTAGTTTACAATTCAAATCTTTTTTAACAGTCATTTTAAGGGAATATTGGACATCCGTAGTAGATTCTCATACAAACACTGTAATTTCTGACCCGGATGCCTGTATTGTGTTCATAATATTCCAAGCAAGCATAATTGTTGCTGGGGTTTAATACAAGTTTGAATGTTTAGACGGAGAGGGGGAGGGTTCGGGCATCGGTGCGGCATTTGAATACCTCCTTACGGTCCCCTCTAGCCTCAGCGACAAGGAGTTGCTCAGGAACTTTTTGGCAACTTTTGTATTTGGAGCAAATTTTGGGGGCAACTTGATTAAATTCTAAGCAGCCTTATGGAAATTACAAAACTGTGAAAGGTTTGAACCCAGGAGTCATTTCAAAAGTAGGTTGAGTTTGATCGTCCGGGTGAACGTAGTCCTGAATAGGACTTTTGTTGTTGACAGTGACTGACGTTTCGACAACCTGTGCGTTAGTCATCTTCAGAATCACTACCTGGATTACCTTCAGACTACTTGTGCGGTAGTCTGAAGATGACTACCGCACAGGTTGTCGAAACGTCAGTCACTGTCAACAACAACAGTCCTATTCAGGACTACGTTCACCCGGACGATCAAACTCAACCTACTTTTGGAAATTACAAAGTCCTCTTATACTGCCTTAGCCTTGTAATTCGTCCTTAACAGAAAATTTCAGTTCTTTGATGTCATAGTCAACATTTAACTACGTGTAAATTCAACCATGTGCCTGTTGCAGTTAATTTCAGTTGATTTTTATATTTCCTTTGCTTCAAATTCAGTAGCATCATTACCATACCCCAAAACATTGGAAAAATAAAAATTAACTACAACATGCCCACCAACCCTCCCCCGAGTCTCAGGTGGACTGCCCTCGGTTTCGGAGGTCAATGGTTCTCAAATAAGGCCTCGCTTTTCAAAATGGTGACAAATATCGAGACAATTGGTATAGGTTAGAGGCAGATTCTTCCAACTCTGACTTCTCTACCTAGGGTGAAATTGACCCTATCGGAACAGGAGAATGCGCTTGCAAAATAAAGATTAAAGATTAAAAAAAGATCTTGATCTGCCAGGGTTTTCTTGTCACAACGTTTTGCTTACAAAAGTGATTCAGACTGATTCAGTAAGGGTGTTTTTGTCTAGAACAACAAGAGAAAGATTATGAGAAAGACTTGTGTTATAGGAAAGATTTAAATTGATCAGGTTTTGTGCCTCTGTGTAAAAAGGTATAGTACCCTGATTTATTTGGAGCAAAAGTCTTCTCTCTGGGGACAAGTAGGGATTTTGACGACATTGAATTTTACCGTGCGGAGATCTGGGTCCCAAACTTGTGTTCTGGGACGCACCATCTTGGAACTGAGTCGAAGATTAGATCGGTAAGTGTGTAAAAATATATTTTTTATTATTTAATGGCAAATGATTACTCTTCTTTATAATCCAATACCGCTGTATCTTTTCATATTGCATTGAGAATATTAATGTAAAGGTTGTTCAACGAATATTGCAATTCAATTCTTCTGCTGAAACTAAGGCTGGATGTTCAGGCTTTTAAAATCGAATTTGAAGTTAAAGATGCGCTTTCCTGTTTTATTAAACTTTTACATTGCTGACCCAAAACCAGTTTATCCACAAGACAGTGCTGACAAGGAAGAAGGCAAGAGTGTTCGGCGACGAACCGCCGTCAGCCAACGAAACTTTTTTTGGCACGTTGTCACAGGGACTTTGCACTGATTGGCTAGTTTGCATTGCCTATTGTATTTTCTGGCATTTGATTGGCTCAGACCAGCTGTACCATTTTCCTTAATTTGGACAGTTTGCCTATTTGTTAAGGAAAGTCCTATCTGAAACTATCCAGATTAATCCCTAATTGGGCAGTTCGTAAAAATTAAAGGATAATAGCTTTGCTGACAATAATATCGTATTAACTAACAGCTATATAATTAAAAGGCATATAGTACTACATGAGAAATTTCTGCAGTAGCGTGGTGTATGACATTTGCAGACTGCAGACCGCAGACCGCAGACCGCAGACCGCAGATTGCAGACTGCAGTCTGCAGACTGCATGAGGCAGCAAGACTGTAAATTGAATGAAATCAAAAGTATCGTAATAAAGGTGGCATCATCATCAACATTACCTTGTTCCGAGAAGTACATGTAAGACCTAGAAGCGAAGTTTATATTTTTCATGCAAATTACACCGACCTCATTCCTAAAGGAGTTGTTGGCTGTTCTTCTTGTATTGAATTAGAGCAGAATAATGTCTGCTGATGTCACAAACTTGCTCATGAATCCATAGCAACAGGCTAGCAATTTAGCCTGCACCACAGATGAAACGAAACTCTGGTTATATAAGTCTGTCTGTGAAACAGCGCCGGAATCCTTATTCTATGGGGGCCCCACCTGTGTACTAGGATTTGAGTATGAGCAATGATTGGCCTGTTAAAAAAGCCATTGTCGATTTGCCTATTTAGCAATTCAAAATGCACTTCCAGTAATTTGTCGAGTCCAGGTAGGATCTGTTCGGTTTAGATTATTTAGCATATCCTTAAATACTGCTAAGATGAAATACCTCATTTAAAAGGTGTTAAACATCCGTGATCTATCCTAGCTGTTTTTGTTGACGTAACTGTAGTGAGCACGAAGTGCTCGCAATCTAAAAACTCTTTTTTACAGAAGACTACTATTTAGACAGGTATTAGTGGGCATTGCTACTTGTTATTATCAGTTCACAATAATCAAAGAAGAATAAAGAATCAACGCAATTAGTGATATGCTGGGTGAGTCAATAAAGAGTCGCGTCGGTGAAGAATAGCCAACAGCATCTTGGAAATGAGGCTAACTTGGCTACTTTCTCACTTTCACACGATGTTATATTTTTTACGGTGTCACCTTTATTAGGAAGATTTTTGGTGTCTTTTAACTGACAATCTGCAATCTGTGGTCTGTAGTCTGCAGTCTGCAGTCTGCAGTCTGCGGTCTGCGGT